TATCCATCCATCCATCCATCCATCCATCCATCCATCCATCCATCCATCCATCCATCCATCCATCCATCCATCCATCCATTCCATATACCATACCATACCATATATAAATAAACGCCGCGCGTCTGTCACGTTGGGATCTATGGCAGCTACCCGAAGGAGGGGTGCGATCGGTACCAAATTTCGGCAAGGCATCCGAGCGCTCTTCATTGCCCCTCAGGCCAAATTTGGTTCTGAGGGGTTGCATCTCAGTGCCAGAATTCGCCCTCAGAAGTCTTCCTCGCCACACCACAGTGCTGCCGAGAGCGTTTCCCTTCCCACCCATGACTCGCCGCCGCGGCCAAAACTGTCGCAGATTCGCGCACTCAAGAATGACCGCGAGCATATTCCGTCGCCGCGGCAAGATGCGTCGTTTTTTCAAGCTTCCGCCGCCGCGCACTCAGGGCTAACCGCGGATGCTCGCGAAGCATGTGGCTTCCAAGTTTCTGATCGTTTCAACACGCAGTCAGAGCGCATATTCGAGGCCTAAATAAACTCCTAACGGTTAATCGAGCTCCTCCGACTCCAAGAATATTTTACTGTTCAGTGTACCCTAAGGCCCTAAGGTGTCTGTCTTGAGAATATTTTTCTGTTCCGTGTTCCTCGAGAAGTTTGTGTTTCACAATGGATTCAGCGATTGAAGAACCGATCGCCTCTCGAGCTCGCTCAGGTTCAAGATCTTTTCCGACGCAGGGAGCATTAAGGCAACGTCAACACAGAGGTACACTATCAACCGTGAACGGATTCGCGAAGCTGATCGCATGCAACATCGACAGAGAAGACGTCAGAAGGGTAGAAGGGCACAGCAGCGGGCTCTCGAGGCGATCTCCGTCAATCGCCCTCCCTGCTGGAAGTAATCGCCCTACGCAACGTGTTCCGAAGTTCTCTGTTGACTTCCTCCGAGTGTCCGAATGTTCAATGCTTCACATTGCAAGGAATGCCCGAGACTGTGACACCGGGAGCAATGCATGCGCCAGCAGCGCATCGATCCAGCGTTAGGCGCGCCCGGAGGGCGCGCCGAACGCTGGTAATGATAATAATCATGGCTTGGAACATCATTGTGTCTCCTCAATCCAGCCTATAAGCCGCAATCGTCGCTCCGAAGCCGGGTGTCGTTGCGTTGAGTTCTCAGCGGACCTTCTTCTAGGTCTCTCGTGATGACCCTCCCGGCAATCACCGGCTCGCACCTTCTGATGCCGAAACGCTCGCATTCCGCGAATGGGCAAACCTAGAATGTGATCGAATCTCGCGAGTAGTCTAGTTGGCGGCTTCCCCGATATTCGAACTCTGCGCTCTTGCCAATTTATCCAAGGCAGCGGAGGGCAGATTGCATATCTCTTTCTCCTTTCGTCTGCTAGCCTCAATCCTAGTCTTTGGCCGTGTCCCGAAATCATCCCCTGGGATCGGATCCTTCATTCACGGACGCCGCTGAGAGGGTAAACACTCGGTGTCGTTCTCCGCTAGACGAGCGATGCTCTCCCTCGCGTCCGTGGTTCATCGAGGTACAACTTGAAACCGGACGTGAAAATGTCGGTCATTCCTTGAGTCCCCCGGAGAAGACGTCACTTGATACATCGGAATCAGCTGTTCTTGACAGTGAGCGATGCTGGAGTGCTGAGGATCGGCCTCATCTCCCTTCAGCCTTGCAGGTGGGTCACTGAGGCTTTATCGTAGGTTTTTCCCCGCGCTCGACGTATTTTCTACTTGCCGGAGACCCCGACATGTGTTTTCGCAGTCTCATGGAAATTTAGAGACAACATCGATCAGGAAAGCGTTCATCCACGTATTTTTCTCAATTCGCGTAAACCGGAATGGAAGGTCCAAAGGTCAATAGGCGTCATTTCGTGCGCCGAATAATCTCATGTAATGCTATTTGCTCCACGTACATGGAAGCGGTTCTTTTGGTAGGAATCGGTTTGAATCAGGAACAATCCTTCCTCCGGTTAAGGGGTCAGCGCCAGCTAAATCTTCTGTTTTTTTTCTCCACTCCAGGAAAATGGCCGGCTTCCGTTACTGGGTTTGGGACCCACCGTTGATAATTTCACAGATCGTGACGCTTCAATGCGTGTTCTACGCAGGACTCGGATTTGTGATCTGGTTTATCGATGTACTCTTCCAACAGAGTCTTTCGCTTGAACAATTGTTTTCCTACGGCGCTGTTCATCTCAAGAGTGCGATCGGCATTGGCACCGTGCTGGCGTACATGGTGAGAGAGACTGGCGTTATTTCTTTTCTCTGTGAATGATCGTTTCCGGAGGGGAGATTCGAATAGAACTATCAACACAATCTATGCTTCCGGCGAATATCTGTGATGGATTTTTCTGCTTCCAGCTGAACGCCTGCATATCTGCCTCGGCTCTTTGGTACTTCGTCGCACGCACGAAGCAGTGTCTGGATTTCAGCTGCACAACGCATTTCTATCATCTGCTGGCTTGCTGGTGTTACAACGGACGTTTTCCTTGGAGTCCGGGCTGGTGGTTGCTCAACGTTTGTTCGGCGACGATTATGTGTGTTCTTGGAGAATATCTCTGCATACGGACGGAAATGAAGGCGATCCCGCTTCTAGGGAACAAAGCCGAGCTATAGTTACGGCAGGAAAGTCCGGCGAGAAATAGTTTTCCGCATGGAACCGAGCCTCGAGAACTAGGGTATACGTGGTCGCGAAGACTTCCGGGATGGTCTTCAGTGGGAAATTGCTGCTCGCGGAATCCGGGAGGGCTGTCATACAGGATGCTCGGTGTGGTCGTGGGTCTAGATGGTCAGGAGCCTCGAATCAATCCTGAACGTTGATTGTGCCTCTTCCGAACGTAGCGAGTATCATCAGGGGGGGAATGTTATCGTGCATTGATTCTGAAACAAACCTTGTTGAAGCTGCCGATCGAAGGCTAAGTCGCGCATGAAACCACATGGCGAGACCATCGTCTGTCAAAGATCGATAGGATAAGTGCGCGGAGAATGTCGGATGCCAATTTCAAGAGTGTGATACGTGAGTGCAAGATGTGATAAGTGATGATATCGCAATAGCGTTGGTGTACAAAGGATGTGTATATTCGAATCGGATCGTGAGGAATAGAACTGTATCTCATGTTTTGATATCTCGAAATTCTCTTCTCTCTTCGGGGTGCACGGGGTGAAACATTAATCTTGTGACGAGTTGCGCGAGCCGTTCACGCAGGAGGCCGGAGCTGAGAATTCTCGGTCGAGTCGAGACGGATCGGAGCGATTTCATGATCATCCACGATGACGTGATGGGGATCCCCTCCCCTAACGTGCCTGAATACACGCCGTTCCGCTCTAGTACGGGAACGGGAAACCGAAGAAATACAGAATGAAAGGGTCGCCACCAAGTTTCCCATGCTCCCTCCTCTTCGACGCAAAAAACATGGAGTCTCCATGTCGGGAATTCCTTGTTGGAGTACGTTCGGATCCCTGAGCAACAGATTCCTCTCGCGTCGTCTTGATTGCAGAGAATCGGCTGCAAGCAACGAGTCCTTGTGGTGCGCCTCTTGTATTTGAAATGATTGTCAAATTCGGAGGGACAGACAGAGATAGACTGATTAATGACCACCAGGATTCTGGGTCCGTCGCCATGCCGCGCGGAGTAGAAACCGTCTTTGGCAGACTCACTCATCAAATGGTCATCTGGTCAAATGAAATGTCGGATTCTTGGACCTACGGGATGTTCGTGGACGATTCGTGCTCCTTTTTGGAGACGGGACCCTGCCCAAGACTGATTCAATGAATCAGAATGGACATCAGTATAAGGATAGTAACGGAGACTTCCTCGAGCCGCTCATAACACTGTCAGATATCGGTTTCAGCCAAAGTCACAGGTTTCGACACCCTATCGTTCGGTAGGACCGAGAAGATGTATTTTCACTCGGAGAGAGGACCCGTCGGGAACGGTGAGTCAAGATCACAGGACAATTAAGGGAGCCGATATATCCCTGATCAGGAATCAGGATATGGACTCGCTGGGATGCGCCTATTCCAAGGCAACACCGGCAGGGCGTGCTTCCCGAATGACAACTGCCTCGCTCCGACATCACGGTGTCCGAATCGTTCGCCAACAGCTCATTCATTTTTTACCCTTTATATTGTATTCTCTCCAGCTCCAGATATTAGAACTCGTTCTATCCTACGAAGGTCGAAATTCATGCCTGATCGATCGCGACTTTCACGTAGCTCATCGAGCCCTGCAATTTAGCCCTTCTCGTGTGCATTACTCGCCGCGGGCAACGGCCGGAAACGAACAAATATCGCGGTATGACGACGATACCTAAGTCTGCGGTTACCGCTATGGAAGCGAGATTTTGGAGAACACGATCGAATCACACATCACACCATACAGATGCTTCCGGTCCGTCGCGCATCGCGCCAGGTCCAGCTCGTAGCCAAACACCGATTGGTCACCGTTACGAGTCATACACGAACACTGAACTTATGGTACATATTCCATACACATGTGTGTAATTCAGAAAGAAAGATGGATTGATATATTCTCGTTCGGTATTCGATTCCTCGACGGAGATTCTCGAGGATGGTGGCAACCAGATCGGAAGAGAGCTTGCTTTACGGGGGCAGAATAGGTCCTTGAAAACACCGGGAAATGGCTCAGGGGAAGCGAGCGCGATGATTGCGCGAAAGCGCGGTCGAGGACTCGTGTGATATCGAACTGTTTCAAGATCTTGTGTCTTTTGTCGTTCGATAAGATGGAAGCTCAGTCAGACGACAACGCATTATTGAAGATCCTGAGCGGAATTATTTCCGTATCGGATAGAATTTCCGGGGCAGGAGAAGGAATCGGTTGGAGAGTCGTTGATCACCGGAAGGAGTGGGGAAAGCCCCTGTAAACTCAGTTTGAGCGGCTTCCTGGAGGTGAGAGGGCGGAAATATTCCTGCAACGAAGAAGAAGTTCGAGAAGGAGAGGATGAGGATCCCTCACCTTATGAGCAGAGGAAGGCTTCCTCGATTGCGGAGATTCAGGGACTTATACTGCACCGAGCATCGAAAATGGCTCAGGCTGGGACCTTGTCGGACCGGCTGTGGATGTGTGGATCCTGTCGAATACGAGGTTTCCCCTCATGAGCATGAAAACTGTGAAAACTGGTAATCAACAGGTCCTCGTCATCCACTCCGTAGTCTTCTTTCCGTTCGTACTCATCACCTCACCCAATCGTGCAGCTCCTGTTTCCTCATCAGTAGTCGGAGTCTGAGGAAATATCGGAGGTGAGAGGGGCTCCGCGATTCCCTGTGGTTCATGTGATATCGAACATCTCACTCAGATATAGGTAATAGATAAGGAAGAGAAGATGTGGCTCTCAGATATAGGTGAGTATCTCGAGACTCGGGACAGTAGAAGGAAAAAGACCCGATGATGAATCGAAATCATTAGGATCTCAACGGGGGCGGCCATCATTTCTGAGCTTGGGCTTGTCCGTGGCACTCGCTCCCTTTGTCTCAAAGTTTTGTAAACACTGACCAAAATTCCGACCATCTCGCCGCACGGACCGCCCTCGACTCGAGAGTCCAACAGAGAATACGATGAGAGCAGTCAGAGATTGAGTCTGTCAGTGTAGGACTGAGCTCACGTCCACGTCGGTGAAGAAGCACTTCCTCTTCAAATCATGGACGACCCCATCATCGTACTGCTTTTGTCGATTCGTGAGTTCTTACGTTCCTCCATCGTCCCCCCTAGGCCCTAAAGGGGAAGGTGAAGGTGAAATTATATAGGCGAGAGGCTATTTTGAGTCGGGATAGAAGCACCATGTGTGATGTTATGCGGGGAGTCCCTGGATAGAGTAGTTATACCGGCTGGATTTTTCTTGAGGAGAACTGTGCACTTATCAGTTTCGAGATCAGACCTACACGAGAGCGACACGGTTTTCTGCCAGAAGTAGAAGAAGTCGAAAGATCTCAAACATGACGAGTCATCATGTGAATTCGGTCAGAGACAAATCGACACCTCGAAAGAAGTGAATTTCCAGCAGGATCGGTGCGCTCGTCTTGGATAGATCGCAACTGGGGAATTCGAGTCGCAGCTTGAAGTTTCGGCACCGAGATCATGCGATGACCCACAGACCTTTCATCTCGGAAGAACAATCAGGCGTTCCCGCCATAACTCTACATATGTATAAGTAAATGTTGGAATCCGACGGGGTGCTCCGTGGCTCCATGAGCGTCGCGAGTTTCCGTGGAGTAGATGTTCCGAGTAGGCCTTCCAGCGGATCGGATCCGCGGATCCGGATCCGCAAGATCCGCATGATTTTCGTGGATCTGGATCCGCAAGATCTGCAGGACTTCTACGGATCCGGATCCGCACGAGTTTGTTCCACGAATGTAGGGAAAAACCATCGTACATACATAGTAGTCGGGAGGAAAACGACCATTAATCGCGTTTCTCCGATGGAGGAAGCAGGTAGCGCGAGTCATGAATTTCCCATTTCGGTTCGGAAGCTCTCGTCTCAAAACTGAGGGCTTGTTCCCTCACTCATTCCCCGCCGACAAGACGGCTCTGCACGTCGGACTTCGCTGCGACTTATGACCGGGATCCGGTCGATAGCAGCTGAGAGACAACTGTTCATACCTCAAGCGCAAGCGTTCTTATTCCGCAGTTCGTGATCTGGACTGCTCCCCGCGAACAAGTTTGTTGAGCCTAAAATTATCGAGAATGAACTGCAACCCTCCTGCCGGGACGAGCCCGTACATCCATTTTTGTTGTTCTCCTTTTATTTAGACGGAGCATTCCTCATCATGGAGGACTTCAAGGTAGCGACGGATCAGAAGAGCTGGGTTTGGAAACATTTCTTGAAGTGTTCCAAAAGCGGAAAAGGCATGAAATGCTTCAGGGTAGGCTCCGCATAAATATCATAAACATATGGAGGTCAGCAGCGAATCCGCAGAGAACTGTACATAAGTTGTACACATGTATACGTTTTTTCTGGATCCGGTTTGGTGCGGATCTTATCCGCGGATCCGAGCCCAAAGGATCTGCGGATCTCCACGGATCTTTGGAAGGCCTAGTTCCGAGACCAGCCAACTGAGGATGTCGCAGACTCTGAACTTCGATTCCATTCGGTAGGAGCTAGGATTTCAAATCATTCGCATATTTCAGCGATACTTGTGCTGGCGTGCTGCTGTTATTGCTGTTACCTCTGTTGCTGTCGCCGCACGGTAGTCGTGGCAGGAAACGTGAGTATTTTCATCCGTCATTCACTGAATGAAGATGAGCCGCTGAACGAATCGCAGAATGGTGTTCGACGATATTAGTCTTGGTCATCTGAAGGAAACATGGCCAACATGCGATGAGTCGGGCTGTGGAGTCCGCCCGGAATCCGCTTGGAATGCATCGATCTCCGTCCTTGATTTCAGGGGCCTGTAACCTCTAATACCACTTGCGTCGTGAGTCTCCCGCAGACGCACTCCATCCCGTATTCACACTTGACGGAATCTGCACCACCGTATACTCCGAAGTGATCCGGCCCAGAAGATGATCGCTCCTGATTGATGAGAGAGGAATCGCCTGCCGCATCGATCGCATCTCGCTCCAGGACACAGTTCGGGATATGATTGCCCTTGTTGTCTTCGGGGACATCATAAAGTAGACCTGAGCGCTCATTGTCAATCGTTCGGCTCTCATTAAAGTTCATGGGACGGTCAATATTCTCATCTCTATTTTCATCATTTCATAAGAATATCGAGCGGAATATCTAGCCAAATGAGGATACCTTATTGTTCCCTGATGGTGGCCAAAGTTGAAGGCTCCTGGGGGTCTCGGATTGACTTACTCGGGTCGCCCGCACACCTTCAATTCTCACCTCGAAATTTTTCGCGGCGAAATATTGCTTAAATCGCGGCGTGTCGCGGTAAGAAAAATATAAACTCGCGGAGGACACCAAAATTACCTCGAAATCACGGAGAGCTACCGAAGTCGATTCGAATTCCTAGCGAGAGTCACTCCCAAAACCAAATGAGCTTTCCAAGTTTGACCCTTTGTAGCGACTCTTGATCCGCTCGAGTCTTAGAGCCCGTGGCCGAGCTCGAGAAATGACGGGGTCCCAAAGAGCCCGTTCGAGGTTTTGCGCACCTTCGATTCCGAGAGCCTGATTCCACCATGAGGGGAAAAACCCCTCTGGGTTGTTTGGAGGAAGTTCGATTTATTATTATCGAGTCTGCATACGTATAAATTGCCGGGAATCGCTGAAAACTGTTGAAAATCGCGCTTTCCACGAACTTCGCGGTTGACGCGAAAAATATACATCCCCATTCATGCGTAGTGCAGGTGGGGTTCGATGCGGCATTGAGATCTCGCGATTGAGATCGCAGCATCCTCAGGACATCTACGGCCGCGGGAGCTCCTAAAATGTTGCGGCGAGCTGACTGCGTTGAGGATAGCAGTTCCGCGACCGAATATCGCGGCTCCTCGCGAGGAGATCTTGCGTGAAAATGCGGAGTTCACTCCAGATTCGCGGATGAAGTAGTTGCTCCTCGAGGCGGAGGTTCATCGATCGGATAAAATCTTGATTCGACTACTTTTTTTGTGGCAAAGATCAAACGACACCCAGGTCTCCCCGAGCTCTCTTGAGGGTCAGAGCCCACGCCATTGAAACGGCTCTTCCTCATTTCAGCTTCAGGATACGAGTGCGTTTTGACGTGAAAACGTGTTCAAAATATCTCTAGTAGCCGGTCAAAGGAGCTTCGTCCTCCATGCAGCGGGATCTACCCCGCTTCCGCGGGGCCAGATCTCCGCTGGCAGGCATCGGATTATCGAACAGGGTTCTGAGTTGAGCTTAAGTCGTCCGTCCGAAATTGTAAACGGAGGTTTCGCCGAGATTCGATAGATAATTACGAAGCGTGCAGCTGAGTCTCCGAAGAGGACTTCATTTTTTGGTGTTAGCCATGAGACCGAAGACAAGAACCATCATGCGAGAAAAGCGAAAAGCAAGGGTAGCTGGGAAGATAGGGCAGTCAGAATAAGCTGCAGAATGGCCGAAAACATCAACGGAAAGAGCACGAGAAATTCGTGCTCGTCGTCGTGCAATGGCCCAGTCGTTAGGGGCCAACACTGAAGATCTTGGTGCGCTGAGTTTGATCCCTGAAGATGGCAATGTGAGTCGGCAAGAATCGGTACATTTCATGCGTCAGAATAGCAATAGTCGAAACGAGCTGAGTGGCCTCTGAGATAATGCTGCGAATTTCGATGGAGGTACCGAAACCGAATGTATGAGGTATGCGGCTCACGAATGTAACAACGAGGAGAGCGACACAGCGATTCAAAAATATATCCCTTGACACCGAGTTCGGGCATGAATGCGATGTCTGTGATCGCCTCCGGTTTTTCCGCGATCTCAAAACAGTGAATCCTAGCATGGCGATGTTTCTGCGGGACCATTTCGAGGACGAGGATACCACGGTTTTCGAGCTGTGCGGTAATTGTTTCAGAATGTGGAAAAATTAAATATTCCGACTCTATGTATAATCCGTATTTCTCCCGCTCATGAGTCTAATCATCCTCATCCTCATAATCTATAAACACAGAAAGTTGGATCACCTACCGCCAGGCTCATGCAATACACAATCACGAGAGACGTTTTCACGCAAACATGCGGTAATAGCTCGCTGCTACCTTTCCGTTTTTTTCTGCGTTTTCTAGCGAGAACGAGATGAATAGTTCATCAACTGTAGAAACCACGAATATCGCGGAGATCCCTGAATTTCCCCAAAGATCGCGCTTGCCGCTAATGCCGCGATGGCCGCAGAAAACCCACAGCCCTACTCATGAGTCATGAGGTTAATCTTGTACGGTTTTCAGAACGAGCCAAGGCCGGCCGACTTCTCTTGCGGAATGTGTATGTCTATAGTTCTTTCCAAGCAGCGATCTGTTGTGAGGCGCAACTCCGCATACGATTAGAACTACATTTGCGGAGATTCCCGCTAGTGAAACAAGAAAGTAATCGCTTGGCGCCCGCCTTATCTTGCGACGGAACGATTCCGAGCTTGTTTTGGAGTAGGTCTCTAATCCCATTGAAGAGCCAACGCTCGGGAAGGATCCGTAGCTCGGTCAACAGGCTTTATGTGATGAGGCCAGACTTATTCCAACTCCGCTCAAATCGTCAGACGATCTAGTCGGTTGCGAATCGGAATCCATCAGGTTGGTTCGAGGTAAAGCGCCCGAATGTTCAACGCGCGCCTCCCCACAGATCCGGATACTCGCCCCGAGTACCCGACTCAGGGAATGCGCAACGTCCCATCGAGGAGTACGATACCACACCTAGGGAGCGCTTTCCAACTGCTATCCTGGAATTCTCTCATGGAAGACGTAGGCAGCGGGCGGAATTGGAACTCGACGGGAGAGTCGAGTACGGACAGCACTGGTTCCGAGATGGATACCTGTCTCGACTGGTAGAAGCTCTGATCATCACCTTCAATGGTCCCATCGCTTCCCTTCGTCATCGGTCACCACTTGCTTACAGAGAAACTGCGGCGCGGCATCTTGTGGTCTAGTTCTCGACGGATTATACCACGAGAAAGTACTCACCCAGCCTTGGGGGAAATTACGCATTAGAGAAAAGGTTCATCCAAGAGCTGGAGAATTCCGAATTAGAAGACAATGTCACGCTGCTGTCGCTACACGATTCGTCGGTTCAGCGTTTCTTGGGGTAGACCTCCCAATGGTACGGGAGGTGTCCCCGGATGCGCGTAGGAACGGAGGATTCTCTTGCCTGTTTTCTTCTCAGATGAATTCTCTATATCTCTCAGTCCTCCCAGCTGGGTCACGGGTCCGTCATCGAACCATCTAGATCTAGATTCTAGAAGCTCTGGGAACCGATTATTCCGACTATTCACTTCCCCGATTCAATCATGGAGTACTACGCTGTGAAAGCCTAGCCGGTCCCCCTTAGTTACTCTAATGACCGCATTCATCGGTGGCCGCTGCAGCGTTATCGTCCTGGACTTCAATCGATACCCTCCGGAGCACCAATTTCTAGATCATACAGAGTAATAATGGCGTCTGGAGAGCATGTTTATTCGGTTTGATTTTCCCCGGTAGAGCCATCGGGACGGACAAATCGTTTTCGCACGAATTTCTCTCGAACTGAGGAATGTTCCGGCTCTGCAGGATGCCTATAGGCCGAAAAACTGCCTCCGACAGATGAAGAAACTTGCACTCTGCTGTGCAAATATTCGGAGTTCGAAGAAGAAATTCAGTGCACCAAGTTGTAAGATATCTCATAAATATATTACATCACAGTTCATTGGTCATAGCTTCAAACATCGCACGCTTCTTGCGATCCGTCTCTGTCCTCCTATATCTCCTTTCCGGTAGGTACATTTTTGACTGACTATTTCTATCAAAGCATCTTCGTCTACCTCCCCAATTGATGAGTGAGAATCGATGATTGAGCCTCGGCGGAAAATCTTGGTTGGTTGCTTCACTCAGAAGTTCGCAGAGAGAGGTCAGCTTTGTCACGATCTTGAGAGAAATAGCAGAGTGGTCAGGAGCGCAAACTGGAGACCGAGGCTCCAAGAAGGCTTCGCGGCTGAAGAACACCCCTCATCTCCGATTGGAAGCTCAGCACAGTACGGATGTACGAGTCTCGCTGTCGCTTTCGTAATTATATCGTCCGCGAGATCGGCAGCTTCGGTCCCGCATCGGACCTCAATCATCGAGCGCGTGCACCTGATGTGGTCTCTGAACATGCTGTAAGGGGGGATAGAGAAAACTTGAGCTCAAGCTCGGAGAAGCTCCATTCTGTGACGACGACCGACCCAAGGGATGACGTACCAACAAATCTTTTTCGACCGTTGATTGAAGTTATCATCTGGCAGTACCACGGAATTGTTGGCCGCTCCTGGGTCCTTCAGAGTCAACATTGACAAATGCCTGTCAGCACATCTTTTGTAATCGTCTTGCATAGTGGAGAAACACGAGGAATGCCGTAGATACGCTGGAATTCCGATTTTCCTCATTAGCTCCTGGACTGGGTTGAGAAGAGCTCAGTATCGGAATTCCGAGCTCGACCCTGTTCGACAGTTTTCTTTACGGCTCATAGGCCGGGAAGAAAGACACCAACCTTTCCTAAACGAAGACTTCTTGTCGCAAAAGTCGGAAATCATTTGCATAGCTCCGTTCGTGAACCTCGAATAACTCTGCTTTTGTCGGTCACTGAAGCATTTCACGGCGAACTTGTTCACACACTCGACGGCCATGTTCAGCTCACTGGAAATGAATAAATACATACGAATTAGCAGCCTTCCATTTCCCTCGGTACCGGAATATTCGGGCTTTCAACATTTCTCCAGTCTCCACATGACCGCAACTTCTGTTAAGCACACATTATTATCAGCGACGGGCGTCGCCGAGGACGTCGACGAGGCATTAGGTCATTTTCTCCACCGAGCCAAAGGAGAAGGAGCTCATTCCGAACAAACGTTGACTCATTACTATTACTGTCATCTGTGGTAAGTCCACGCTCGAAGCAAACCATTAATTCTTCCGAGCAGTTCTGCTCTTACCAGAGCGAGTAGATTACGTATCACGCAGGTTTTCAAGCAGCACTGCGATAGCGCAATTGGTGAAATTTCAGCCGTGAAAGATCGGTCGAATCCGGCACCCATCGGAGTATTTCGCGAAGAAAATGGGCATATCGCGAAAACCGTATGAGCATTTTATTTTTTGCCCCGTGAAAACTGTGAGCTGAAACGAAGTCGACCTGAGTGTCCGTTGAATCGATCGATCGCTTTCCGAAGCGGGAACTCTGACTTACATACTGTGGTGTGGAACCCCACGGCTAGACATCCCGGTTACAGCACTGAGAATTCAGACCGATAGATAGCGGTTACTGGTTATCGTGGTCTGCTCGCTGCCAACGAAGACCTTCACTGATACCTTTTGGATTTAGAGCGAGTAGTCGTTCGGTTCCCATTCAACGTTTTGACGTGAAAACGTCTTCGAAATGTCTCTAGTAGCCGGTCAAAGAAACTTCGTCCTCCATGCAGCGCAATCTTCCCCGCTTTTGCGGGGCTGAATCTCCGTTTGTAGGCATCGGATTATCACGAGGATTGGGTCAAAAGATTGCAAATTTACGAAACATGTCCCGATGAATTTTCGTACGGAACTGAACTGAGAAGGAGGTTCCATTGGACGATTTCTGTCGACTCTCGAAAACCTCTGTTGAGCCGCATGAATAATTGTTTTCTAGAATAAGGGGAGAATGGTCCGCTCAAGCAGTTGAAAGGAAGTAAGATTCTGATGTATATCGGTGAGGACATGGACTGCAAGTGACTCAAGACAGTTTGTCCGAGGAATAATTTAGTTCGTAGAGATACCTATCCCTTGCTCTGGTGGAGGAAACCGCTGCAGCTATGCAGGTTTTCTTTATCTACTTTCAGACCGCGTATCAAGTAAGTTTCCTGCACTTAGGATCCTGATCGGAGGACGATCTTGAGTCGAACAGGGCTCTGAGTTGAGCTTAATTCTTCCGTCCGAAATCTTAGACGGATTGATTCTATAGATTATAACGAAGTGTGCAGCTGAGTCTCCGACGAGGACTTCATGACAAGAACCCTCATGCGAGGAAAGCGGAAAGCAAGGGTAGCTGAAGATATAGGGCGGTCAGGAGCAGCTGCGAACAGGCCGGCAACATCAACGGAAAGCACGAGAAACTCGTGCTCGTCGTCATGCAATGGCCCAGTCACCAGAGGCCAACACTGAAGATCGTGGTGCGCTGAGTTTGATCCCTGAAGATGGCAATGTGAGTCGGCAAGAATCGGTACATTTCATGCGTCAGGACAGCGATAGTCGAAACGAGCTGAGTGTCCTCAGAAATAATGCTGCGAATTGCGATGGAGGTACCGAAACCGAATGTATGAGGAATGCGGTTCACGAATATCAGTGGAGGAGGGCGACACAGCGTTTCAAAAATATATTCCTTGACAACGAGTTCGGACATGAATGCGATGTCTGTGATCGCCTCCGGTTTTTCCGCGATCTCAAAACAGTGAATCCTAGTATGGCGATGTTTCTGCGGTACCATTTCGAGGACGAGGATACCCCGGTTTTCAAGCTGTATGGTAATTGTTTCAGAACGTGAAAACATTAAATGTCCAGCTTATATGCATAATCCGTAATTCTCCCGCTCATAAGTCCAATCATCCTTATAATCTAATACAGAAAGTTAGATTACCCACCGCCAGCTTCAAGCAAAACACAAGAGACGGTTTCACGCGAACTTGCGGTTAGCTCGCTACTACCTTTCCGTTTTTTCCTCGACGGCTCTTTTACTTTCTCTTCTGCTAGCTCATCGCTCATTTCCTCGCTGCCTCAAACACCCATATGAGTGTGGAAAACAGTAACAAGGCGTCATGTGATGGATTTGGGGTGAGCCCCGCAGTCCAGCGGAATGCCGCTAATAATTGGAAGGGGCAATTCCCAGCGGGAGCGTAAGCAGCTCTCTATCTTAACGAGGGCCTAAAGCTGTGGTTACCAAGCAGTTATGCCATTGCTGAAATAGGACAGATCGTCCATGCGACAAGAACGACGTCGCTGGTAGCGATGCTCTGAAATCGATCCTAACCGCGCCCCGCGCAAACTTTGTATCGCATATGCACTCGCTGCCGATGCGGCGTAGCCGGCGTTGCGGATCAGGGGCCTCAGCCTGGACTATAATTTTTGACGAATTTCGTTTCCAGATTGATACGCTCTTCGGGATCCGGAGTGGTTTCAATCATTTGCCGAATCTGTGCAATGACAAGAGCGAAGTTCCACTTGGCTAAGAGTGGCTCGATCCGCGACCGAGTGAAGCAGATTGATTGCGAAGGCTGTCACTGGCACGGTCGAAATTACTCTGTCCTATCATCAGCCGATGAGTGATGAATCCACTCACAGGGTCCGTGGAACAAACCTGACGAAGCGTCGGTAGATGAGTCAATAGGAATTCTCTCAACGATTCAGAAGCAAAGGGAAGAAAAGAGCCCTAATGCATGAGAGGAAAGCACGGGAGCACGTCAGCGGAAAAACAGCACCCACCCAGGGTGCTGTTTTAAGGGCACAGATTCAGTTGATGACGAACGAAACGACATCTCAGAATTGTGTTCGAGTGGAAAGACCCGACCTATCGGGTCGACCACTCCCGATTTCAGAAGGAGGCGGGGATGGAGACAGCGAACTCAGCACAGGAACACTAGAGGCCGATTCACACGGATGACAATGCCGACGAGGCAAAGCTTCGGTTCGTGTTCACGAAACATCAGAAAAAATCTTAAGGCACTTTCATTCTCCGGGATGAAGCTGAGAGGTGTACAGCTGGGGGCCGAGGCTGGTGAAGCGTCATTTTCGCCTCTTCTATATATTTTTCCTCAAGTTTCATTCAGTCCGTGACCGTGGTCCGATTCCGATATCGCACATCCAGATCTCACGACTCGAAACGAACAGCGTCGTCGTCTTCCTGACGAAAGCAGTTTTGCAAAACAAACGAACGTTGTCGGAAGCACCTTTCATACGCGTGAGGAACGACCACGAAGCGAGAATGCGCAGAGCCACCAAGAGCTTTCATTAGTTCTAATTCTGTTTGAAAGAGAAAACTCGACCGCGTCGGAGCTCCGGCAGGGGTGGTGGATTCTTCACGTCATGAAAATAGATAGACACATAAATAGTGCGTCGACGGCCCTCCGCTCCCGCTGAAGTCAATCCATTGACTCGAGCGTCGCAAGATTTCGGTCCAATTTCGCTAATCCGTCGGAACCCCCTTTCACTCTAGCGGATTCGTACCGGGCAACTGTCGGCGCTTCGCCGGCCCGCCCGCCAAGCTATCGCGCCGAAACCAACATTCGATCAGTGAACGAATTTCCTTCAGCCGATTTTCTCTGTTTCAATATTGGACCATGTATTGCTGGCCAGCTTGTCGTCGGGCAACAATGCGCTGAGAGCCGTTTCGGACTTCTCGGAATTCCGCCCAAAGTGTGATGCCGTTTGAGAACCTCACCCGGAGCGTCCCGAGGGCGCTCGATAAGAAATAGTCCGATCTCAGCCCCCCTCCGAGCCGAGAAATCTAAGGAGGCTGCACCCGGTCTCTCCTCTTGATAAGGGCTCCATGGTAACCGAGCCTTATCCTCGAAGAAATAGGTACTCATCGACGTCCAGGCAAATAAAGAAATGAAATCATACCGATTGATCGGAGTAATTTCAAAAGCGTTCATTGAGAAATGAAATTAGGTTTCTCTCTCTCTCAAACCCTCGAAATGAAGAAAGAAAGTACCGGCCGGTGTCTACGCGACGCTTGAGGGAATGTGGTCCGGACCGGTACCTTGGACCGTTCTGTTACAGACGAGTAAGGCTGTGCAAGTCGTCTGCGCCGGGCTCGGCGTCATGTCTGGCGAGCTTAAGCAGCAGGGACGAATGGCCTGCGGCTCAGGCGGCAAGCGCATCAGCATCATCGACGACGTAGTCCGACGAGCCTTGACGCTAGTCAAGCTGTCGATAGAACGTCGAATGCTCGTCATCGGACAAAGTCATTGGACAGAGTACTTTCATCATACGAATACAGCTTGCCCTGCCCCTTTTTAGCAACATCGAGCAACAAGATCGGCATCGCAGTGTTGTCGCGTGTCATGAGCCGCCGGTGATTTTTTGTATTTACCTGCTCGATTCACCGTTAGTGCGGGGCCTTTCAGATGGAGAAATTGCCTTCACTCGAGCCGAACGTGTCCCACGGGCGGATTTAGAGCGTCCGACTCCTCCGATCGCTATGGAAGTTCTCGCGCAACGAACAGAAAAATACCTAACAAAACGCCCGCTGCAGCTACTAGTCTGCCGCTCGATTGGAATTCCGATCGTGTGAAGAGCCGAGCGGAGACATCGCTGCTGAAACGTATCCGAGTCACAAGCCCGATAGACATCAGCAGAGCGAATGACTTTGAACCTCCCGGATACGTGTACGGTTCTGGATGACGGTCAGCGATAGCTCGATTGATAGATCCATCTATCTCTCTATCCACCTTATCATCCGTTCATTCATTCATCCATCCATCCGACCGAAAATCGGTGCCTCGAGCGCTCGTCACCATTGTTCTAACTGTCAACGGATGATCGATGGGATGAAGGAGCACTCATCGATTTTCGGTGTTTTACGTTGAAGAACCTTCATTCTGCTTTTGAAAAAAGTTGTCTCGTGTTTTTCGTTCAATATCTCCGCACATGTCCGATTGATTTCGGGAAGCAGGTCTTCGACACTGCTCGATTACTAAGCGCAAAAATTAGATCGGTTTGCAAGGCTCTGATTGAAGCCAGCGAGAGGAGTCATACCGCGAGAACTCCGCACTCAGCCCCATGGTGCCTCGAGATGGTCGTTTCCCCTACCTTAAGATAGCGAGGAACGGGTAAACGGTTTGTTTTACATTTCGGAGATGTTGGCCACAACATCACCAGCATCAAGAACGCCAACAACGGGGTAAATCAGTTCGGCGTGACATACATTTATTCGGTCTTAACGCTTTACGGTTGGGATTTTCTTATTTTTACTCGGCGGCCATTGTCCGTGCGCGGCTCGTAGTCGTTCACGCCGTTGTTGTTCCCGCCACAGAGGTAGCGATCGAAATTGCAGCGACGCATCTGACTGGAGATTTTCCCCGTGTAAAACACCCTTTAGAATCAAACAGTCATCCCAGGATATCGCAGCGTGGAGGATACCGGCATAGCAGCTTCCCACGATTCGCTGCTTCGGACTCTCGCTGTGTCGATATCATCGGACACAGGTTAGGAATGTAAATTGAACGGCCAGATATCCGTTAGGGCGATCGATTCACCGGTCTCGTGTTTCGCCCGCGGTGCTCGATATCTTGGTCTGATCCCTCGAACAGAACACGACTGCCACGGATTAGATCCGAGCACTGCAAACAAATTTATCCCGCAACGAACCAATTCGAACCTTGCCCTGATGAACTGCTGAAGGACATTCTGCGAACTCAGTCGAGCTTTCGACTGAAATTTGAATTCTTTGTCCGCGATCGACCGACCGAGCTGATAGCGGAGCGACCGAGCTTGTTCGTCAAGCAGAACCGAACGAACCGAAATACCAAGCTGAGCGTTGAACGAACAATCTCAGTGACCGTCATAAATAGAGTGGTTGCTGCTTGAAGAATAGCTGCCGAGTCGACCCTGAGACTTGATACGCAAATGACGCCATCAGCTTCGCTCCCAAGGGAGGAAACGAAACTAGTAAGAGGAATCAAACGACGCCAACGTACGAGGTCCCGCGCGGATTCAGTCAGGAATAACATCTAAAGGAAAATTTTCTCGCCGTGATCGCGACGAGATTCACTACTTATCATAACGGTGATGGCAACCTGATCGGCGACCATCGTAAAACGGAATGCGATCATATAACTCACCGCGTATTCCCAAGGCATTCGGCGCAAGAGCCCCCTTGCGGCACGCCGAAGAATCAGATGCCCATCATCGTTCCCAGGCAAATTTTCGTGAAACCATATATCCGCATTGAAAAAGGAATCAGTATACCGATCACTACCCGAGAATCAATGGATCGAGACTCACAGCCCTCAGAAGAGGAATGGCAGCGGTCAAAATCAAATTTCTCACCGCACATAGGGTGTGGAGTCGGCTCCCTGGTCTCGAATCGGGGGGTTAGAATTATCGGAAGTCGAATGCTGGCGATGTACATCTGAGAAGACTATTTTTTTTCAAGTTGGGGGCAGAATTGCTCGTAAGCAGGGAGAATACCATCGGCAGCGGTACAGATCCGGGAGTTCGTCTGTACACGCAAGACTCAATAATTCTATTCGATCTTCGTGAGCCAACAAAAGAAATTCCGTCTATATTCCGGATGGGTGTATGGATGGTCCTTCCGCCGGGAAGCAGGAACGATCACATGGTGCATTTGAGGAGCAATACAAAATCCACATCGAAAGCTTCGACCCTTCATTTCCGAAATCTGATCAGCACTCCATGACCAGGCAGAAGCATCGACTGCTGGACCTAAGCGATCGTGAAGATCGCAGGATTCCAGCTTGCGGAGTTCCACTTGAGGGAGCTGGGAATCGTGGGGAACCGGTCTCGAAGGACTTCCCAGACGTGATCCGATGATTTGAATTCAAGAAGCGGATTCCTTTAGAAGAGCTCCGCTATCGTTTTATGCGGCCGCTCAAAAAACAAACACGGGTCGTCGCAACGCGTGAAAAAACATCGCGCATCGAAACGACTGTCGCTGGTGCCGTGCAGTCTCTTGCTCGTTCGGTCGTTGGGGAAATCCATATCGTCATTGTGAACGGTCAATCGAACGCCAGATGACCGCACAGGGGACTCCAGCTTAGTGGACCTTGCTCGATACTCGCGATCCCGACCGGAGCGGCACACATCCCATTTAGTCAACGGTGCGGGAAGAGTTTAATGATTTTTTAAGCAGGAGGTCCAGAGAGGCATGCATTCGGTGGTCAGCGGAACGCTTGATGGCCGACCAACCAAACGAACGAGCGACGGTCCGTCTGAATTAGTGCGAGGACGAGTTTCAAGCGACAAGCTTCGTCGACCGAGCTTTGCCACAAATCTCCGCAGCCGCTGTGATCAAGAGCCGAGGCGCGACGGCCGAGCAACAATGAAAGCAATATCAGAAAAAGATGCTGAACCGAGGAAGAAGATTGCAAGACATGAGAGGAGCATTGTGATCAATTTGCCAAAAAACAGGTGTTTTACATTTAATGCGGTGGAGCTTCGTAAAGTCTGCCTATGAGGATTCTCTCTGCGTTTGCGTGCGGTCGCTACGCTGGATAACGGAATCGAGCCCTATCGATCGCGGTATTTTTTTCCGTAATGATCCGCCCCGGACTTCCATCAGAATCTCCCCGAATTGTTCACGAGGCGGAATCAGTCCGCCCCCCCTGTCGGAATTCCGGATATATGTCTGGCGTTTTGAAAATTCGAACTCTCGAACGTATATCGATATGAGCCACCTGACGAGCGCGCTTTTGCGGAGAACGCGAAGGTTGCACATACGTGAATACGAGGTCGACCAGCTGATTTTGGATATCCTGTTTCGTGGAATGAATTCCCCTCTCGTTACGGGACCGTGAAGAATAAGAATTCCTTCTTCTTTGTAGATATTGCATCTCCGGCCTATTTGGTCCCGAAAATTCATCAGACGTTCGTGTACATCTGCTTATTCGCTTCTTGTCTTGTATACGCGGCATCTTCATGTTCGGGGAACTTACTCGCACAGCGTATCGTCTTGCGGAAATTCCTGTTCGGTCACGAGCCCCTCCAGCTTCTTGATACATGTTGTCACGGCTTCCGAATTGCAGTCGATATTCGTTAACGATGCACTGGCAAAGCGAATTACTCCTGGAAATTGGAAAAGTTGTGTTAATGGACCGGCGTTCGAAACAAACCGTCGCTTCAAAACCAGGATCGCCCTCGTTTCACAAGAAAAACACAGCTGCAATTATTGGAAGCGAAGGTCGTCGAATGCGTTTCTCAAAATTTCATAGAATACGGAATATGCCGCGAGCATTCTAGGAGTGGAACTCCGTGAGCCCCGAATTCCGGTGGGCAAAACGATTGGTTCACGACTGCGACGGAGCACGGCTGAGCCAGCTCCCCACCGCGATATGATCGAGCATGCTCGCTACTCTGAATTCAAACGCACGAAAGTTGTGGGGAGCAAGGGCGCGTAGACTCTCTCGCTTGAAGAGTTGACCCGGGTTCGGGCAGCAGCTTCCAACTGACTGATATCCCTGATTCGGGTTCCAGTACTGCCATCACAGATTTTCCCGCTCAGGTCTTTCTTCCCACGAAGTACAAATTTGCGCGAAAATCTGTAGCAGTCTCGCGGAACCGGAGCTCATCTATCCTCGTAGTTCACACAGTACCGAAGAACAACGCCGCCGTCGACTTCTTTTCGCATTTCGGAAATGATTCGGATTAAATTAAACCGACCGACCAGCCAAGCAAACAACCCAGAAAGGCAAGACGAGATGATTCCCTTGCAAGAACAAAATCTGCGTATATCTTTTCGGGAAGAGCTATCCGAACCGTTGCCGGCCGGCAGCTCGCTAAAAAAAAACTGCCGGGGCCATTCGCTCGTCTGGAATCGCTGTTCGAATCGAGTACACATCATTCTGTCGCGTACAGTACTCTCTGCGCCGCCCCTGAGGTAACTGGGTTTTGATTCATCCAGATCGGGGCGGGGTCCGTGGGGGCTTTTTTCGGCAGCCACGGTCAAGATATGCGGAAATTTCGAGCTGGTACATGTTTGGCTGACTGAGATGACTTGAATCCTATCCGGCAAGCTTATCGGACAGCTGCGCCGTAGGCTCGAAGGTGTTCTCGTTCGATCGCAGTGTTGACGGTTGCTCCCAAGACGTTCGAGACTATCAAAAAAAACGCTGGCCGGGGCGGAAGAGAGCGGGGGTCCCGCGGCGAGCCGAAGCTGCATCCGAAGTGCTCCGATAACCCTTTTTTGAAGGCCTCCGGCCCTTCATCCCCCGGAACTCTCGGATGAAGAAGTTCACTAATCCAATATTTTCTATGCATCAGTAATGCAATGTTTGTGACTTCGCTCAGGCAAACTCATTCTCGACAACATTCCGCCTTATTCTTCCTTTCGCCGGGCCGCCGGCAGCCGTCTTCGAGATCCATCCATTCGGAGCCCTGTAATTTGGACAAATCGATGACGAATGAGGATTTCTGTCTGATGGAGGATCTTTGATCAAATAGAGAAGGGAGAGGGAATCGAAGCCTTCTCGCGCCTCTAAACGCATTGAACGCAGCCTAGTCAGGCTCAGAGGGACCATCTCGACAGTGTCCAGTGTTGATCGGTGATTGAGGCCAGTCTTTTCGCTGTCGCGATTGACGCGAACCGAAACTCCTCGACCCATCATTCCTTAAATGAAGGCGAGATTCTGATGGTTAGGCGATCGGATCTCGCTGATCGCACGCGAACAATGGATATCGTAAATGCGCACCGGCCTGCGGATTGGAACGAGATTAGAGAGCTCGAACTTGGAAAGGTCCAAAGGAACGACCCACAACACAAGACAAATTACTCCGACGAATAATGGGGCCGCGGTAAGTCGTAATCACTAGCTAGACGAGCAGGCAACGGCAAAAGTGTTCGCGCCACCGCGGAGAGCCTCCGTGACAAGCTTCCATAATTCTGAATGTCCCTGACTCGGATCAGAAGTCGTAACTCCCGAGAAAAGAAGATTGAACATACATTTCCCATTCTTGCCCCACAATCGTTCGGCCGTCGGCAGATACTTTCAATCGAGAGTTTCTCAGAAATCTTGCCATCAGCGGGCTGTCCACGGAGACATCGTAAGACAGTCCGCGGCTTACTTGAAGGGCCGATGAATATCGTCCGGACGACCCCGTTTATCGAAAACAAGCTAATTAAAATTTATCAAAGCTGCAGCCTCATTGATGTACGTCGGGGTCATTTTCCCGTTCTGATTCTGTGGAAGAGGCTTCCGGGCAGATCGGGAGGAGAAGGAAGCGTCGGGTCAAGCAAGAATCATGCTGGCAAGAAAAACTGAAAATCTCGCGGCAAACTTCAAATTCGTCGATCTGGAATGATTGTGGACGTCGCAGGGTTCGATACGGCTGCAAATTTTTTAAAGAGGCTTGAGTCATAATCGAGATGATTGGTCCAACTTCATACTGTGGGGAAACCGAATATCCAGACCGTGATTCAGATTATTTATTTATATCCATCCCCGATTAAAATCGGAAGGGTGATTAGATATTCCCTGAATAGAAGCCCCCCAACTCTGACCGTCACTTTATTCAGCAATGTTTAAGTCAGCCACGAAAAGAAGAACGGCAGTGGATCCTGATCTGAATTTCCTTCTAGGACAAAACAGACCGACACTCTCCATCGTATTTTCTGCATTGTTATGCTTAGAATTCACTCGACTTGTTTCCACCGCAAATCGCTTGAAGTTCGTCTTATCTGACGTCCAGCATATTTCACTCAAGCCAAGGACTCTTCTCTTGTTACTCCGGATGGCGCGGCGCCATTGAGATTTTGGGGGATGATCGCACGTCTCTGGGCTACGTCACCGACATTCCGTTGTGCAGGTGGGATCTTGTCCAGCTGCGACCGCGACTGAATGAGTTTCATAACGGCGGAGGTATCGCGCCTTCGGAGCCCGGTCTGGAAATCAGGTTTTCCCTGTCCAACGCAAGAGAGATAAAAACAGGGACTTCAGAAGTTCCTCTTTTCTGCTAGTTCTGGTCATTGATTTTGCAAATGCGTTTTTTTTTAGTCTCGCTCCTTGTTGTTTCTCTTTCTTCGTTCGGAGCTATCGCTCTAGCCCCGGGACTCAAACGGTGCGCATCGGAGCAGATTTCTTGACAAGCGTTTTGAACTTTTGAAACATCCGCGAGATGTATCGTTGCGGAATTTCCGGTTCTGGCCAACGTAGGTTTTCGGGAAACTTCTTATCCAGAATTGATGCTCCTCAGTCGTGGTATGCGCTAGAGGTAGTCTGAGGCTCCCGTGGAACCTCGTGGGTTTTCTTTCAGAATTTAGTTGTCCATCCTGATAGCCTGTATCAGTGAGCTTCGATCCCGAGGAATTTTCCTGGTCGAGCGAAAGAGAGCACCACCGAGAGCTATCAGCCTCAAGTTGAGCTCCGCTGTCTTTTTTGAAGGGCTTTCTGTATTATCTTCCAGCCATACTTCGGAAGCTCGCTCTCAACCTTGTGCGATACCAATTTTCGAGAAAAATACGACCGAACGAGGAGGAAGCGATATGGCTTTTCACGAGTCGCGTCGGTGGAACAAGGCTCGTTAGGCTTTGGATTGTACGATTGAGGAACTTCACTAGTAATTATGCTGTCACCTTGGTCGGTGTCGAACAGGCACGCAGCCAAGCAGAAAACACTTTTGAGCACTTCTCGACTAGTCGTCGCGTTATTGTTATTCTGTGGCACGCTGCCGGTTTCCGCCAATTTGCTTTCGAGATCCGCGACCCTGAATGAGCTCTATGACAGAAAAGCGTAAGTTTTGGAAAAGCTTCAACAGTATCCGCTCGTCGGCAACGTACTGGTCGAATGCACATTTCAGTTCCAACCGTAGTCTCCGCGTGGCTGACTGACGTATCATCAGGTATATCGAGGTAATCCACGGGATACCTCTCCGCGATTCCCCTCGATTTCCCACGTCGCTGCGCCCCCGTCGCCACGCAGCGAGGAGAATCAACTCGCCGACAGACTCCCATCCATGGCTTTCCGCAGAAGATCGAGCATTGCAGGCGCGATTCAATTAATTCCGTATCCTCCAACCCCTTCAGCATGTCCAAACGGAGTCACCATCGACAGAATCGGGTTCGTTGAGATCCCTCGAAGCAGATTGGACATCACCGCAGCGCTGATGAGAAGTTGTGAGGACGAAGGAGCGAGCGGGACAATTTATAACGAAATCGTGTGAATAAAGTTACAGCAGAAGCATTCCCTCGGCCAGGTCGGAGCGTGGGTGCCGTGGCGCCCAGCGTTCAGGTATGCATGCACCGGCTCGTAATGAGCGCATTCGTGACCGTGTTAACATCTGCAACACTGACAGGTAGATACGAGCCACTTTGGACGCGGCTGCGCAGGACAACGAGCCCGGGTCGGTGGCGCCCGTCGCTAATTGACCAACGACTTGCAGTACGAGGAAGATAATGACTCGGTGAACTCCGTTCCGAAAACGTCTAAGCCTGTCACGATGTGAGCAAAACAAAGATACGGCGACAAAGTCACCGCAAGCGACGATTCCGAGGATCGCCCTCACTACCGTGTGAGCGAAAATGTCGAGTAAGCTCACTTCGAAAACAAAAAGCGTCACTCGATTCGTAAGACGCTGCGGGCCGGGAGCTAGGAGCGGAAAACGAACTAAAATTCGGGAAATGGAAAGAAGTCGATTCATGCCTGCGATGATAAATTAAAGTTTGGACCATCGAACGTGATGCTTCAGATCCGACTACAACAGGTCGCCGATCGGAAAGCGGGAAGAGCCCGATTACAACTCGCCTTTCTTTCTTTTTTTCTCTTGTTTTATTGCGGCGTGTAAACGTACCTCCAGGACCGCAGCGACGGTGGTATTACTCAATCGCGCACGGCCACACATTTCAGATAAATGCACGGGAACAAGTCCACATCTGATAAGTCGCCGCGCGACCGACCGAAAGAGCGACGGACGGACCGTCTGACTGACATTTCGTTCCACGATGGGGTGGTAGATCAACGGGACGTTTTCGAGATATGGGAGTCGCTTGGAACCGGAGTCGATTTTGGATATATCGCCCCTTGAGTTTCGCTTCATCGGAGCTCCCACTCCTACGCGCAGCCGATGAAACGACTCGGATCGGCGAAATTGCGCCGCTAACTTTCTGTGATCCCGCTTGAATGGACAGCGCCTATACGAGAAGGAGGGTGGGACTTTCGACTTGGAACGGAGGAGCGGGAAAATAAAAGATCTGGGATCGCTTGAACAAATGAATCAAGAAGTCAGAGATCAGCGATCGAGTTGATCAATGGAATTCCGAATGGGTAGGTGCATGCATGTTCCATTCGGGAAAATTCATCGAATCGAAAACCGAGATTCGAATGGGTAAGAGGGAACGATAACCGTTCGGATATGAATTCGTTGAGGGAACGATAGAGACCGCAATTTTTCGGTGTATTAGGCTGTGAATTCTATGTCTGTCTCTGTTCGTTGCAGGATTGGGAGGAGTCAGTCTCGGACTCTGGAGTCGTTCACTCTTTCGGAGAAAAAAGATGTCGTCGGCTGACGAATCTCGTTCACTAACCTTCAGACTTGACCACACAGATAGACAAGAGGAAAACCAGGAGCACTGTCAGTCGGTCAGGGACCGGAATCAGCATTTTTTTCTCTGTTGGTGAACCCGATCTCGAGTGAATTCCTATGAAGTATCCGAAAGTTCCTCAGAACACTTGTTTCACCAGGGTTACACATTCATCAGAAACACATCGAGCCATTGGAACGACTTCACAGTGTAACAGCTCAATCAACTTCTGACCACGTGAAGCTGAAGCAAAACGCTCTCACCCCCGGTGTTTGTTGCCGACGGAGAGGAGGCGATGGGAAACACCGGTTCCACTTTCACGATCGCCGACGTCTGCGGTCGGCCCGATGGTCTATTGGTCGCCGTCTCCTCGTTGGTAACGATTTTCCGATGCGAGAAGGCATTTGATCCATATTTGTATTCGGTGACTTGACAAAGAGCGGTACCGATAGATAACGCTTAGATTGGCAAACCCTGATGCCCGCCCCGTGTGGGTGATTAGCCGAGCCCTTCTTGAGAAACTTGTTCGGCGTATGCGATAAGTCGTCGAATGACTTACACGCGTACGTACCCTACGCAAGATTGTGGGGCTTCCGATTCGGAAGCTGCGCGATCCGAGGATTCCGGATCGGTGTGAATATGAATTAGCTGCAAACGGAATCGTCTGCAGCCTTATTTACGACATCGTAGCATGGACCTTGTCGAGATGAACGGAGAAAAGTCAACTCCGTTCCAGAGTCCGTGCAAGAGCTCTCCACGATACGCTTATAGCTCCTAGTCTTCGGGAGTCACGGAGACAGGAGCCAGATTCCGAATTAATGACCGACGTTCGATACTGTTTACTGCAGACATTGAGAGCATGCTGCCTCAAGCAGGCTCCGGTTTGGAGTGTCGGAGCCACAGCTGCCGTTGACTAGGAAGAATAACTCAACGGAGGATATCAACGGGGAGACCCATGAGAAAACCGACGTTCACGGTCAGCGAGCCCAGAGGGATACATGATAGGAGCGGGGTTTGCGTCTAAGTTCTTCTTTTCCGTCATCGTGGTATCGTGAAGGCTTTTGCCCGGGGCATTCAGATCGAATTCCTACGGGCCGTGCTTACGCCCACTGACGACTGCCACGTGAGAGCTCCTGTATCCGTCGGGAATCAGACCGCGGCCCGAATGCTGAGACCTACATCTGTAACTAGCGTGCTCCTTCCCACTTTTTTCTACGGGCCGAGCTCTCCGCTCGACAAGCTGAGTTTTTCGAACGCTCAGGGAGAGCGCTACGCCGGAAGCCCAGCCAAAGGGGGAGCGGGCCAGCAGGGCAGCAGGGCGGCGAGGTAGGCAGGCGTACGGGAGGGTGAGCGGGTGGACGGGCGGGCTAGCCGGCAGGCGGTCGTAGCTGTCGCCAGCATCGTCGGTATAGTATAGAGTTTGCCGGAGGAATCGGAACAACCACCCCTCTCTCTTTCTCCCTCGATTGTTCGATAGTCGATAAAGCATTAAAGGCACGGAACGCAGCATTTCTGAGATCTCGGCAGCGCACAGTCCGACGGAGTCGCAGTGAATTAGTGCCGCTACGCTGGTTGTCCGGACCGTCGACCTGTAGGAGTAGGAATCTTGTGGTCGTTATCAGCAGCAGAAGCAGCGGTGATTTCGCTCGGAAGACCTACGAGATCTGTGAAAGATTTTCCGTTGAAAACAAGCTCCAACAAAATCCGGAATCATGAGTAAGAGTCCGAATCAATGCGCACCGATTCGATCTCGATAAAGGAATTGTTCGTGACTCGAGGTTCTCAACGCGCCTAAGCACCTTCGAGCCTCTACACTCTACCCAATTTGAGATTCCAATGCACCGAAGATTCCCAGTTCGGGATCATGCTCGAGCCAGCACAAGCCATCCCGAACTCCATGGCGGATCCTAGGCGCCCTGATCTTCCTTGTTCTCGAACCTGCTCGAAACTTTGCTGTTCAGCTATGGGTCCCGCTGTACCCTACGCTCCGCTCTCGGGAGGCATTATCATGGCCGAGAACGTTTACAAAATACACGAAGAAGTTTCGATCACGGGTCATTGTTCCCGGGGTTCTAATCTCTGACGATTCGAGGACGGAACTAGTCGACTCCTGTGTCGCTTGTCAAATATCCGGAGATTTTCGTCGACGCGTTTCAATCAGCAGGGTCTCGCTGGAGCCTCATGAATAGTTAGACGAGCTTTGAGAGATGGGGGATGAATACACGCCCCGGAGCGAAAGCCGGTTTCGGTCTCATTAGCGGAAATCCATTGAGCGAGGTATTCGTTCTTTTGATGGAGATGCTGGAGCTCGCTATTGTCTGCGTCAGATGGGACTATTGACATGACAAAGGGACTTTGTGGAGAAGTCGGGACGATATTTGCACCGCGTATCCACCGGATCCCATCTCTTTTTTTCACTGCATCATACCTGACAAGAGCTCCCCGGCCCGAAAAGCTACAAAAGTTCGGATTGATCTCGAGCCTTATGGGTAGGGTTATGGTTATAATTGATCCTCGCTAATGTCTACACGTTTTCATTGTCTACATGAGCGACCCTGGTCCAGGGGCGAGTTCCTTTCCTGGCCTTCATGGTTTCTTCTAGGTTTTCCCATCTCTAGTTCTGGAGCTCTTCGCCTCATTTTGATTTGTTCAAGAGGAGGCGCTTTTTTCGGTTCCCTGAAACCCAGCTACTCTGGGCGATGCTCCGGGTCCCTCCGTTGAACTCGCGTTTTCATTTGCCCCTCAAGTGCTCATTGATGTCTTTCCCGTCATGTCATTCTCCCCCTGACGAAGGACACGTTCGGATCGCCGAGAGGGTTACCTTCGCCTTGCCCTTCGACCTCTGCTCCTCGGAAATTCCTCAAAATTCCGTTGCATTCTCCGAAACATTGACACACCACAGCAAGTCGTGATGGGATCGAAACTCCTTCTCTCAACACGATTGGCCTATACGCCTTCTGGCAAAACACGCCCGGTCAGATCAACTGGACCGCGCAGCCGATATCAGAGGCACAGAAATGGCGACAGTGTGATTTCCAATGTCTCTGATCGTACCCGATTCGCCGCCCTCCCGGGAGGGACAACATTTCTTGGATGGGTCGGCTCGACGTCGAATCCACTGTTAGCGTAGAAACCTCTGTTTGGCCTGCTGTGATGAATTATTCATGAACAGATGGATTGTACGCAGATCGGAATGGACGGTTTCATCGGTGCTCTTACTCTCAATTCGAGAGAAAGAAGCAAGCGATATTTTCGCGTTCAGCGTGGCTTCATAGCCACCATTGAATTCCGAGATGAGGCGCATTGAGCGAGGCGAAGAAGGAGCGACGATCCGTGCTGCCTGTTTTTCGAAGACGATACTCACTGAGGTTCTCGGGATAGGCGTCTCGCCATGAGATCTTTCCCATCTGTCCGCGTCAGCTGGATCCCCTGCGTTTCCCCACGCTGTCTGAACGGGACGACAATGCTTACCAGTGAAAATTGAGAATCTACCTAATATTGTAGTCCGCCGTCCTCGTCACTTTCAAATCTACCCTCGACGACTTGGCTCGTGCCTGACAAGTTCATCACAACCACGACGCCGACACCGCTGGGTACAACCGTCTGTTTATGCGGCACGGGTTTGTTTCTCCCGTCTGGTAAAAAAGCAATCTCCCATTTCCGAGGATCTCGTTACAGGGCACTTTTTCGCCACATGTGGAGAAATTCCCTCTCTTTCTGATAATTGTCCTGAATATACGGGCCTGCTTGGGGCCAAGCCCGAGGTACTCATAACGAAAGCAAACCTTGCCCTCCGAAGAACGAGTTCCAATACGAATTCGTTGCCATCGCTGCGACTTCAAAACATTCGCAGGCTCGGCGATCGATATCCGACGCCTGCGAACGAGGCATTCTCCAACACAAGTCCTCTTCACACTTGTTGCACCGCCGACGCATAACGAGGCGAACGGAAAGAACTCTCTTACTGCGGTACGAAGCACTTCCGATCGATCGAGCCAAGTTAAGCCACGATTGATGATTTTTGATTGTGATTAAGGAGACGTCGCGCTCTTCTGTGTTCCCCGGGAGCTCACGAGGATTCTGAGCGCTCACTTCAGAGTAGCTCCTGAGGGGAAAAGTCGCAGTGAGACGATTATCGACGAACAGCCCGCAATAGACCGCTTTCTTCGTCCGCAAAGAGCCGATAGTCGAATCACCATTTTTGTGTACTTTTCAGATTTCTCCGGACGCCGAGGAAATAAACCTGAGCCACCGCTGAAAATGAGAGAAGTAATTTCCCTACATTTGGGTCAGGCAGGCTGTCAAATCGGTAATGCTTGCTGGGAACTCTACTGTATAGAACACGGGATCCAGGTGAGCCTTCGATCGTACAATTTGAGCTCCCAATCAGCCGGGAGGATCCGAGAAACTTCCGAAGCTTACATCTGAACGTTCCCTTCGTCGATTGGGTACTTATGCGCCGCCGACGTTCGCCGGTTGATGAACGAGTTGATCTCTCTGCTCCGCAGCCCGATGGGAATATGCCCGGCGATACGACTCTCGGTGGCGGAGACGACTCTTTCAACACATTCTTCTCAGAAACAGGGAGCGGGAAACATGTTCCCCGAGCAGTCTTCGTGGACTTGGAGCCGACTGTAGTCGACGAAATTCGGACTGGGACCTACAGGTACTGCGTGGTCTTTCTCCGACATTTCGTTAAATACTCAATTCACATTCTCGGACTCGATTCGGAAGAACTCTATGCTGTCCACCGAAATCGAAGCTCGGATAGAGCTTGCGCTCCTTCATTCTCCAAGCTCACTGTCAGAGTTGAGAAATTTCCTTGAGAGCAGCGAAATAGAAGGGGGGAACAGCCCGCGTTGTCCGATATCGCGAAACGTTGAGGCGTTCCTTCCCCCGCATGGGATTTTCGAAATTCGTAAGACGTTGCATCCTTCACAGACAGCTCTTCCATCCCGAGCAGCTCATAACGGGCAAGGAGGACGCGGCGAACAACTATGCGAGAGGACATTATACCATTGGCAAGGAACTGATTGATCTGGTGCTCGACAGGTTTGAGAAATGCATGCGGAACATGTTTTTAAATAACTTCGCGAATACATATAAGCACTGGCTCGCGTCGATGCCGCAGGAGCTCCTGAAAGTTTGATTCCCGAAGAGGCTGCTCGCGAACCCTGGGAAACTTTTCCGAATTTTCCTTCTCAGGATCCGCCGTGTAGCCGATTTATGCTCAGGACTCCAAGGCTTCTTGATTTTTCACTCTTTCGGTGGCGGCACCGGGTCGGGATTCACTTCCCTTCTGATGGAAAGGCTCTCAGTCGACTACGGTGGGTAGTTTTCGCGCGGTCCAAACGCGCGACGGCCACGACGCCATCCGAACATGAATTCGCTCTCCTCGACCGGCGCACCGGATCTCGTCGCAAAAACAGCTCCGGGAAATATATTGTTATGTTGCAGGCAAAAAAGCAAAGTTGGAATTCTGTGTCTACCCAGCCCCGCAGGTGTCGACGGCTGTCGTCGAGCCGTACAACTCCGTGCTGACCGCTCACTGCACCCTTGAGCATTCGGACTGCGCCTTCATGGTCGACAATGAGGCCATCTACGACATCTGTCGCAAATATCTCGACATCGCGAGACCGACCTATACGAGTCTGAACCGGCTGATAGGGCAAATCGTGTCATCCATCACGGCCTCGCTCCGCTTCGATGGAGCTCTCAACGTGGACCTCAACGAGTTCCAGACCAACCTGGTTCCCTACCCGCGGATCCATTTCCCATTGGTGACCTATGCTCCCGTCATTTCAGCCGAGAAAGCCTACCACGAACAGCACAGCGTTTCAGAGATCACGAACGCCTGCTTCGACCCGAATCTGCAGATGGTGAAATGCGACCCGCGTAACGGAAAGTACATGGCGTGTTGCCTTCTCTACCGAGGCGACGTCGTACCTAAAGACGTGAACGCGGCCATCGCGGCAATCAAGACCAAGCGAACCATCCAGTTCGTCGACTGGTGCCCGACGGGATTCAAAGTCGGGATAAACTATCAGCCGCCCGCCGCGGTTCCGGGCGGCGACACGGCCAAAGTAATGTGTTTGAGATTCTCGGGCATTCCGCCCATCCAATTTAATAAGAATCTAAAGACTCGGTCGTGAGGAGGCCCCGGTTTAATTCCTGCGATATCCGCCTTTCAGGTGCCGCGCGCGGTCTGTATGCTCTCGAACACTACGGCGATCGTGGAAGCGTTTTCGCGACTCGATCACAAGTTCGATTTGATGTACGCCAAACGGGCTTTCGTTCATTGGTACGTAGGAGAAGGGATGGAGGAAGGCGAGTTCTCGGAAGCTCGCGAAGATTTAGCCGCGCTGGAAAAGGATTACGAGGAAGTCGGGGTCGATTCGAACGATGGAGAAGAAGGAGAAGAATACTGAGGAAACTCTGCTTCCGTCGGTTGAAGCGGGAACTCAGATCGTCCAAGCACATCCACACCTCATCTTTCAAGGAGGATTCCCGGAGAAGGAGGAAACACGCAGATGTAGGACTGGTATTCTTCGTGCTGGAAAAAATTCTACCTGAGGTGAAACTCTGTAGCGAACTATCGGCATTGGGAGAATCTCTCGAGTGATCGATTTGCGCGTTCAAAGGAATAGATCAGTCGGCGATTCCACGCGAGGACACAGATGCGAACAATATTTTTTCCTGAGCAAGTCTTGGCGTTCTGCTGCACGTGACTGCAATAACTTGTACAAACGAGTTCGGAGCGAACCCTCGATCCATGGCTGGGCGCTGGACTACAATGATCTCTTCTGATTCGAAGGTTCCAACTTATAATTACGCAATAGAGCATCCGACGAGCGTGGCTCTCACAGGCATTGAATTTTCGGCATAAAAATAATTCACTCAACTCTGTATATCAGTACCTTCCTCGACCCGGAACTGAACTGCCACTCACACAGCCCAATAAAGAGCTTCGTTTTGTCGTCCAAACATTTTTTGTCATTCGCCGAGCCTAATCAATCTGGAGTCCTGGAGTCGAGCTCACGATTCAGTATCCATAAGCAGTGTCGGTGACGCATCACAGCAATTATGCCTCACGTATTGCTGGCCGAGGACTTTCGCGTTTCAGGAATTCCCGGATGAGTGCTCAGTGTTTTTCACGGACAGGTCGTCACAGGATTCCTATTCGTTTCATCTGAGTACAATAAAGTGCAGTCGTTCTCTTCCTTCCTGGCCTCTGTTCCCTCGTCCGACGGTGATATTTCCTCTGAGCGCGCACTTTCTCGTTGTCCTCAAGTCCTTAAGTCTAAACTCAGTGTGCGTCCCGTTCGCGTCGGATCGCCCCAGTGCTAAACGAACATGCTACGTGGAGGTCGACACTGCCTTTCTTCATTTTTCTCTGGCTCTGGTCGACGCCATCAAAGTCATGGTTTACATTACCCGAAGCTCTACCAAAACACCCACGAACTCCAACAACGAGACAACCGGAAAGTCCTGGAATTCTACCAGAGTGCCTTGTCGAGAGAGATTGCGAAATCGGAAGGCTCACAAGGTTGGTTGGAAATCGAGACCCGACCAAACCCGATTTGGGCTTGACGAGTCATTTACAGGCCTGGTGATCGTTCTTGTTCCATTCAGTGCTGGATATCGGCTGCGGAAGTGGCGACACGACCCATAAGACTCTACGACCCCTGATGGTGGATGACTTCGGGTGCCGACGAATCGTGGCGACAGACATCTCAACTTCAATGCTGGACTATGCTCGTGGAGCCTACCCTCATAGAGCCATCAGCTACGACGTTTTCGACGTCAGCTCTGCGTAAGTGGCTGGTGGCCGACGTCGACGCCGTCTACCGCATTCTCGAGCATCATATTGGTTCGGATCGCAAGAAAAAAACCCACTGCAGAAATGGAGGCTGTGCCCGTCGTACGCTGCAGCAAATATGGCGAAATCATCTTTTCAGAGCTCCTTCTCGAAAGTTTGATAAGAAAACGTCAACTGGGGATCAAGTCGGCAAAGTCTGGTTTCGAAACGAAAAGTGGTCCGTTTTAACGAGCCGGCAAAAGTGAACGAATGCCGTACGCTTGTCGCCGGAAGTAGACGTAATGGGAAAACTGTCTCAGTTTTCTTTCGTGTTCTCTACCGCTGCCCCCATTAGAGGAAATGTCGTGGCCATAGAGATGCTCCCTCTCCACGGGGTACGCACAGCGAACCATGAGCTTGTTGTCACGAATGAGGAAATGTCATCATGAGGAATAATCCCGTAGTCTCGATTTGACGACTAGCCTTCGGAGGAAAATTGTTGCGTCTTCATGTCGAGAGGAGATATTATTCAGGAGCAAGGCTCCCAATAGGAAGGATTGTGAGCTCAGATAAATGGAAGCATGATGCGCTCATATGCTCCCTCCCGCGACTTTTCAGGGACTCAGCCCAGGAACTGGTCTCTCGCTACGGCCATTTTGAGTTTGTCTTCTCTTTCTACACGCTGCACTGGGTGCGTGACTTGGCCGGGGCTTTGGCAAACGTGCGTCGGGTGATGCTACCGCAGGGTCAACCTTCCGAATGTCTCTTGTCGTTTCTGGCCCTGAATCCAGCCCTGCTCGTATACCGCATCCTTGGAAAAGACTCCCGTTGGGCAAAATACGTTGTGAGTGTATCCGCTGGTTGGACCCTCTTCAATGGCGGTCGAAGGCACAAAACTCGGACGAGATTCGTTTGGAGTTCGAAAAAGAAGTTCTCCGATCCCCCAGCGAGGATGCGCTGCACGACATAGTGCGTTGGCGACCCGCTTCCTCCCTCGACGTTGTCGCTTCCCTTGTTGATTTTTTCGATTCTAAGTTTCATTTTCTTGTTTGTTTGTTTCTTCGTTCGTTCGCTCGTCTATGCGTGCCGTCCGCAGAATATCGAGGAACCGTTTCGCTGGAACAAGCTCCGAACTGAAACTGCGTCATCTTGCAGGAATCGACTACAATTCCATTCGGGGAAATATACACTCAAGAGAGTCTGCAGCAAATGGCGGAGAGCTGTGATTTGAAGCTCCGCAGTTGCGAAGTTCTCAGCATGGAGTTCGGTCACGCGAGTCTCGAGAAGCTCCGAGGTTTGTTGGGTTTATGACTAGCAGCAGCATCAGCGGTAGTCTCGGGCTACCGCCGAGAGCGGCGAGAAGCAAAGAGCACGGCAGCGAAGCGTATCCTCCTGCGCGATGACGGCAGCCCTGTCGGTCTCTTTGACGACAACGATGGAGAAGCAGCAAAGGAACTCCTCGACGGATTTTCGCCGACGTCCTTTTTCCTGAAAACGCACCGCGGCCGGCTTGGGTCAGGGATGGGGGAGAAGAGCCGAGCGCTTCGCGAAGAATATAATATCTATGCATATTGTATTCGCTTTTGGTTTTCCTCAAGTTTTATTCATCCGAACGGTGGCGGCGTTGTCGTCTTCCCGCAGACTTCACTGACGACGGGTCCACGTGCTCGAGCTCCGGGCACGCTTGCGTACCCCGCACCCCTGCGGGCGCGGAGTCGGCCTTCATTCTCTTTTGCCTTTCTGCCTCACCTCGCCCGCCCGGCGGATAGCTGGCGGGTAGAGTGGCGCGCCGGCCACCCAACGTTCATCCCCATCCTTCTCGGTCATATCCTACTGCGCCGCCGCCGCCGCTGCTGCGGCAGCCGCTAAAAGTGAGCTTAATTTAGCCAACAATAGGGGCGCTCAGCCGTGCCCCGGTTCGCGCGTTCGTTCGCCCTGCGTACGTAGCCCGAACCGGCGGCTGCTGACGACGACCTACGAGCCGAGCCTGGTGAGCTTCGCCAGCAAATCAGCCGGTCGGCTGATCGCCACTCGCATAGAAAACTGACTGAAGCACCGAGAGTAGAGCCAGTGAGCAGGAAAACCCTGCCGCAAGGTGGCTCGCGATTCTTCTCTCGGGCGTCGGTGGGCAGGCGGACTGGCAGGCAGGCACAACGGCGCGGCAAGTCAACGGCCATGCTGGGCTACGAAGAACGACGTCTACGGAGAGAGAAGTATCGAAATGCGAGGAGTCGAAAGGATGCGGGAGAACGAGAGGAACGGGAAGAGTGACAATCACAACAAGGGATTCCGGGCGGCGGTAGGGAATAGCAGCGGGAAATCTCTCTGGAGCTTGTTGAGTACGCCATCCCCGACAGCTTCGACATCGATCGCCCGGCAGCTAGCTGAGGAAACTCAGTCAAGCAAGGAACGAACCGAGCCGGCGGGGAGTTTGAGCAAGTTTCAGGGGCTCTCCGTTGGAGCATGGACAGCGAGGTGCTGCAGCCCAACCACCGGGTGAGAGCCGGAGGTAGTCGGATGATCCCGAGTCTTTACGTCGACCTGACTTCCCGAGTGATCGGGGGAGGGGGTAGTGTTCGGATAATTACAGCCCCGCATATGGGAAGCGAGGACATCCAAGTCTCCACGGTGATTTTCGGTCGACATGGGTGTTCAATTCTCAATCCCATAATCATGATATTAATAATAGTGATGATATTACTAATAATATTACTAATGATCATAGCGGAAGCTTTTCCACCAGCTTCGGAGTGCGTCTCTGGACTTTGACCTCCGGGCCGAGACTCGAACTCGAGCCTCTACTCCGGAAAAGCAGCTGCGCCTAACGACTGCAGCCGCGATTCAATTTTTCTCGTTTCCAACACGAACTTACAAGTCGCTAGAAGGAAATGCTCGCCACGGAGACAGGAGAACTTCATTTGAGCTCACTCGTTTGAAAAAGGGACAGAACCCGGGCTGGGATCACCCAATTCTGCGATGCGGATGACGGCGGGAATTTTCTGTCATTTTGCATAAGGTCACGCAACGAAATAGCTGTCGACGAGATCGTTGCGGCTCCATCTACCCTTTGCTGCGATTATGAGATAAAGCGACAACTTTTTTTATCCAGATTCAGCGGTCGCCGTATGCCCAATCCACAGGACCATCCCGGCCGAGCAGAGGAACGATTTTGAGAAAGATCTCGTGAAGAGCTATCTCGAAATCAGCGGAGGGAGCGAAATTTTCAACTACCAGATCGCGGTCCTGCACGCCCGGAGCGATTGAGCGACGAGGACCCCGCTCCGAGACGGGACGACAGGATTTCTTGACGCGTCACGAATGAAGTGACGAACCGATCGCCGCCGTCGTCTCAGTGCTCAAGATGTCAGCCTAGCGATAGTGTTGCTCGGCTGCAATCGTGCGCGTACAGTCTGACATTTATTCTATCTCAAATAAATATATTCCAATAAAAACATTATAACATCGGTCCCCCGAGAGCACTTACGACTCTGTCATCGCGCACGTCGTGCCTCGTGACGCTGTGCGACCCCAGCGCTCACTCTATTATCTCTACGATGCAGTCAAACGCCACAGAACCCATCATGACATTAGATTCGAGCGCACATGACCTCTCCGGGCGATAATGATCAGCCTCACGATCATAGATAAGAAGAAGAACTTCATATCGGATTTATCGAAGTTCAGGCAGGCGATATCATTAACAATCCAAAGCATCCTATACTGACGGGATTTTTTGGCGGTATTCTGACGGGAAGCGTCAGGAAAAGATAGCGGAGGGATCACGGAATTTTCAAGCCGGTTCCGGGAACTCGTGGACCTTTAGTCAAAATGTAGACAATGGGTCCGAGGAGAGTGTGTATATATGAGGGACGGAATCACAAGGCAATAATCTCTCCACTGAAGGAGCGGAGGCTTTTGTCTACCCGATACGATTCGCAGGAACAATTTGCCAAATGGTGGCAATGCTGATGAAGCCTTGCCGAGGCAGGCTGGCGGGCACGGTTCCCGGGAGCTCGACGAGTGGGCATCGGCGCCGGCGGGATCCGAGCCCTAATCTGCGATCCGACCCCCGCGCTCCGACACAGAGTGGGCGGACAGACGGCGGGTTACATTGGTGAAGTATGTTACTTATCCTGTTTCCTTCTCTCTCCATCTCGCGATTCTTCTTCCTGGTGAGCGTTCGTTCCTCCGATGACCACCCTGAGCAGAAACGTCGAAGACACGCCTCGTCTCGGCGGAATGCGCAACGAGCGGACCAGGGGGTGGCGAGCGATGGAACCGGCCCACGAGTTCGACAAGGGACGAGCGATTGATTTTCAGCTTGAGGACTGTCAGAGCGGAGCACCGAAACTCCCCGAAATACCTTGAAGTTCCGCGTTCAAGGGACGCATCAGATCAGAGACTCTTCGATTGGAGTCAATGAGAAAGAAAGACCCTCCTCACATGGAGTCTATCAGAAGCCGAAGGTTCTCCGTGGTAATTCCCCATCGGTAATCCCTATTTAATCTCGAGCTCCGTCCATGGTGCCACCTGCTCTCTGACACCGGAGAGCAGGTTTCGTCGAAAATCGCGGCGTGCGCGGGGCCTCTAGCCAGGGGGTGTCAAGGGCTCGGGGCGGTCACAAAACCGTCACCGCCGCCATCGAGGAGCGCTCGAGCGTTGCGGGTTGCTCAGCCGGCGAGCTAACAGACCGGAGTCCAGTCAAAAGGACGCGGCGGCACCGGTAACAGCGGCAGCAGCAGCGGGCAGGCCAGCTCCGATGGGCACGCACCGCTCGAGAACATAGATACAGTCGGTCCGTCCATCTGCCGGCTTCATGGAGTTGTATGCAACCGCTCCGTAGAGCGAGGACCGTCATCAACATCATCACCAGCAACATATCGTGAAGTAGGTCCAGCAGCATCACGGACCGTGAGAGCGTGGGCGACCGGGTTGTCCTAGTGTATCCTGTTTCGAGATAATGCCTGGTTTGGAGCTTTGGGATATCGCCTGATACTTATTATTCCCCTTTCAGCGATATGAATTCGACGATGGAGCCCCGAGCCTCGAATCGCTCATTGGTGCCTATTAGGCGCGCGGATGCGGGGAAAATCGGGAAATAGAAAAACGTAATTTCATAGGAAAAAATAAAATCCAGCAAACAGTGAGCCCACAACAGGGGCCTCGACGCGGGTTCCGGGGGACCGGCCTCGACTGAGAATGAATCGATGCGGGCCCATTCGATGGGAGATGAGCGAATCAACGCATTGTATCCGCGACCGAGCTCGGTCCGGGAATCTCGCCTCTCCGCTCCACACCTCTCAGATAAGGTAAGCTGCTACTGCTCCCAAATCATTACGGAACGCGTGACCGAACCCGACCTGCTACTTCATGAAGCTATTCGGCCAGTTTTGGTGGCGGTCCAGTAGACGGGGCACTGGATGGGGCGATCCCGAGTAGACATGTCGGCCTCCGGAATCACGAAACGACGATCGCTCGTTGCTTGCATGCTGCACTGTACTGTGATGGGATTCGTGGGATTTCTCTCGAGGGAATTCAGTTCCGCATCGAGAGCGAGGGACCGACATGCTGCTAGAAAAGAACTTCCAAGAGAGAACGATTAATGACGGAGTCGGGAAGCTCCCTCGATCGACGAGGCCGATCAGCCGCCCCGAGGGACGCGGGGGACAAAGCGACCGGCGCGTAGGAGCGCAAAGGAGACGGAATCGGAAACAGGGGCAGCGTAAAGTTGTCGAATAAAGTATCTACTTCAACTCCTGGGCAAAAGTAAGTTCCCGGAGCCCTCGCCGGGAATTTTTTAGGGTCGTCTAGCTCTCCTTCGTTTTGAGACTTTTTATTCTTTTTTTTTCCTCGGAAAACGAAGGAACGAGCCGGCGAACAACGACGCTCACACACACACACGGACGCGTACCCTTCAAAGAAAAACTCACAGTGACGGCTCGACCTCTTGAACTCGGCGGGCAGAGTTTTTCGCAATAAAATCTCCCGAAGTCATCAAATTCAGCGACTCACTCAGCAAGCGGAGCAAGCGATCGGATAGCCGGTCCCCGATCGGTTGGCCGATCGGTCGCTCGTCGAGGGGTTCGAGCTCTTGTCAAATATTTTCCTTATATTTTGTCAATTCGGAAGAGACTCAGCATGGATCGAACACCATGAAGGGACGATCGTATGTCAATAATTTCCTGTCGGGTGCACAAACCGTTCTCAGATGATCAGTCTGCCCCCGGAGAAGCGAGAACCAAGTGCTCGGGGGATCGAGAGGCAAGCGTACGGAACCGAGAATAAGAGAGAAAGGTTTATGGTGCTCCAATCTAGCGGAGCAAAAACGTCTTGTTATCATCTGATGCCTCCGGTCGTCCCAAGAGCGGGCGGATGGCGTTTCATATGAGTGCGGGAGTGACACGAGTCTAGGTATGCAAGCGTACACCGAGCGCTCGCCCGAACGAGCGTGTCTTGCCCGCGGCCAAGAGGCAGATGAACAGCCGGCAAATGAACGGTCGGTCTGTCGCTGGAACGAACAGATGGACAGGCAGATGAGGCGTACACACACCGCTGCGACTGATCAGCGTTGGCATGTGCATCGTCAGAATCGTCGTCGGAAGCATCGAAGTAATCACTGACCTCTCCTCGACGGAGGAAACAGGACGGGAACAGCGAAACGCCCGCAGGTCTCCGGGGATCGTGGTTCATGGTCAGGAAAGCGGAGATGAAGGCGATAATCATTCAGACTCGGAGTTTCATGGATTCTGCTCTGTGATTAGGAGTGTTGATGCGGCTCGGGGATACGAGCCACCGCAATTCGATGCTGGAAAACGTAGCATTGTTTTCCGAGGAACTCTGCGGGAAAATGCCTGGGGGAAACGGAGCACTGGAGCATAGGGCTCAGATGATTCGCTCATCTTGGATTATAATTAAGGTCGTGATCGTCGTAAACTTCGTCCTGGTAATGCATGCCCTCGATGTTTGCGCTGCGAATCCAATCAGGGAGGTGGAATGGAGGAAAACACAAAAACAACACGAACGCTCTCGCACCGAATGGGCTGAGGAGGATCTGTAATTGATTATGGATGCCGGACTTCGGCCGAATTCCCCGCGACAACGGGACCGACCACGAAAACGGTTGCCATCGTTCCTCCCCGTCTGAACTGACACCGCCTGGGCGCCTGCGTCCGCTTCCGCTATTCGGGGAGGAAATTTCGCGTCGCTGGATTGAGCATCTTGTGGAGAACAGGCTGCGACGAAGAGAAAAGAAAGACTTGCTCCTATTGGAATCCGATTACGTTACCGCCGCCGCTGCCGCCTCTGCCACCGCTGCCTTCTCCGCCGCCGCTGCGACGACTGCACCCTTCGACCTACAGAAGTAACAGGTCCTTCCCTCGATCTGCAACTCGCCGCTCCTTAAATCGCGATCCGGATGCACCTCTCTGCCCCTTTGGAACATCATGGAATTCACATACACGGGCTGCTGCATTGTGATGAAATGCGCGAGTGGCGGACAATCGAAAGACTCGAGGGTGAAAGGGTGAACGACAGGGGAGCGATGAATTCAGAGAGAAAATATTTCTCGCCCCCCTGTACTGCTGATCGGCTGATTGCGGGCGAGACGACGTCGTCACGACTCAAACCATTCGTTACGTATGTATTTAGTATCGAGTGTCGCAAGCTACGTCCGTCTTGCAAGCGATCGGAGCTTTTCCCTCGGATCGTTTTTCCCTTCTCGTATCGTTTTATTTCTCGTTCCATCGCCTGTCGTGTAGAGCGACGTTCCTCTTTCGGGAATGAATCAATGCTCTCTGACGTCCAGCCTAATCCCCCGGAGAGAGAGATACGCCGCGCTGTTCCCTGCTCGAAATTTTACGAGAAACGACGACGATGACGGAGGCGACTTTGGACCCCCCGATGCCAGCCGAGGCATCTTCGGAGTCTGAAGTGCTGATGGTGCCGAAAGAAGTTCCGGGCACTCGCAGACGAGGAAAACAGAAGGGTCCGGGACGACGCTGTCGGAGAAATAGTACGATGGGAAAGATGCGAAGCTCGCAGGTGTGCTGTCCCCTGCGTGCTTCTTTCCCTTTTGGGATTCGAATCGCTTCTTCATAGCGGTGGGCTGCTCCGGCTTCCCCGGACGATGCCGGTCGTCGTACCGAATTTCTTCCTCATAACGGAAGCAAAACGCTTGGCTCCGAGATCTCGTGCCTCCCGCTCTCGGACGAGACAGTTCTCCCAAGCCACCGAATGAAGATCGGAGTGCGCGGTTCAACAGGTTTCCCGCAATCCGTCACGAGATCCGGACATCTACCCATTCAGGATACTTTCCACCCATGACGCTTAGGTCAACTTTAATTCTCGAGCGCGAACACCATTAATAACGAGAGGTCATGCCCATCACGGGAACGCTCTCTGGCAGTGTGAACCAACGAGTGAACAACACTCGGAACGAATGAGTGGAGGAGCCGTGTCGCAATTCACAACCAGAGGGGCTGGGTGGGCGTGAGCGCGTCAATAGAAGCCATAAGTCATAAGTGATCCGGTGTTTCTCGCCGAACGCGACTGCAGTACACTGCGGTCGCTGATCGATCAGAATGCGTCCGAACCGAAAAGGTGTGTCGCGTCGATTATTATTATTGAACGCACTCGAGAAGCCTGAGCATAGGAGGGAAAACTTAGGTGCGACTGCACCTGCAAAAATCTCCCGCAAGAACTACCTCTACACAGAAGGAATAGGACCTCCACACCCAGAACGAGTAGATCGGTGGTGTAGCAAAGTTTCGTGCCTGCAACGAAGCATTTTTCCGCGCGACCACCTGCTTGTTCTATTACCTAGGTTTACAGAGAGTTGCCAGCTCGCGATGAGTCTTATCATGAAAGTGCAAATCTTCCTCTCGTCGTCATTCCGGCCCGCGCTTCGAAATCTCGCTCCCACCAAACGGGACCACATCGGCTGGCACGGAAACCGCAACTCCTTTTTCCCTGTCAGCCAACCCGTCTAGCCCCGGTGTCGTTCCCCGGTGCCGTCGTCGTCGTCGTTCACTATCGCAACTCGACGAGCGTCCAGACAAGCGACCGAACGACCGACCGACAGACAGACAAACCCACCGACGACGTTGGAAAGCTAGCTGCAGGCGGCGGCTGGCGTAGCGGGTAGTGGCTTGGCCGAGTTCCGTTTGCTTGGCGGGTGCGGTGCGCGCGCACCTCGCCCCCGTCTCGGAGGCTCCTCTCTGCGGGAACGCATGAGGGCCAGCCGAGGCGCCCTCTGCCTTCTTCTTGCTCTATGCGAGCTAGTGAGTCGGTCGGTCGGTCGGTTGCTCGCTCGCTCGGTCGGCCACTACGGGCCACATTGGTTCCTGAATCGAGCAGAGCGCGCACGGTGGTCACTGTGGCGAGAGCAGAAAGCAGTGCAGTGAGTGCAGTTTGCTTGCTTGGCCAGCGTAGTCTGGTGGTGCCACATTGCTGGATGTTGGTCCGTTAGTTCACGCATCCGTCGATTCGTCGATCGGTCGGTCATTGTGTCGTCCATTCACTCTTCATCCAGACACTCGTCGACTGGCAGTCGTGGGGCAGTGCGTGAGTGCGTGCGCTCCCGCCCGCTGCCGTCACATATCCCGTGTCTGTTTTGCCTGAGTCGTCCGGCTCACGGGCAAAACTGGTTCGAGTGACAAATGGCTGCCGCCACTGAAATCAGCGACTACTAGCCAGTCCCTCAGTGTCTGTTCAGCTCGCTCCGGCTGGTCATCGAACATCGACACCTTCACCGACCGGGCGAGAAGAGTGTTATGGAGAGGAAGCGTGAACCTTAGTGACTGCAGGCTAGAAGGAAAAGAAGCAACGAGTAGGGCGGTCGTCGTCGACGACGTGTTGCCTAGTGGACGCAGAGCGGGAACAGGCCGAAAGAAGTTTTCCGAACGAGCCGCTCGAAGGCCGTCGCCGCCATAACAGTTGACCACCGTGAGCTCGACAATTAGACATCCGAGTTTGCGAATTTCCGTCATCCCCGATCCTCCACAAGTACGTCCGGACGCCTTTTCCCTCTACCGGGGGGATCGACGCCGGGGGACAGTGTGCCGTCGAAACGGACGAAACTCGTCTCTTCTAGGTCGAGCTGAGCTAGGTGCTCGAGGATCAGTAGACCGAATTAGGATCGCTGCAGCGACCTTAGTCGTCGAAATCGTTCACCTACCGCATCGTTGACAGCGATTACGTCGTCGAAGTGACCGATCGCGATCCGAGCAGACTGAAGTTCCTCAGCTGATGTCGGAAGTGTAATTCTGACATCATCGATCGTCCGTAGAGTAGCACGTTCATCACAAAAGTGGCTACACAAGCCTCCAACTACGAGAGCCACTTGTACTGTGTTCCTCAGCAAGTGCGAACGAGACGTTCCGGGGGGCTGTGGATGATTCCACGGCCGGCCCGACAAGAGTGGAGGACGTAGCAGAAGTTAGTCAGTGATGGAACGCCCGGAGGGGCCAAGGTCCCTTCCGTTAACAACAAGAAACTGCCGACCCCAGTTTGGCTATGGGGGCCGGGGAAACAGCCAAGCAGCGCTGTTGGGACCTTGCGCCTCGCTACCGGGAACGACAAAAAGTTTTCTTATCCTCTTCTGCGCAATGTTGTTGGTGGGCCAGATTAAGTGGGCCGATGCCAAAGAAGCAGACCTCATCGGACAACAGTAAGTGATAGAGCAGCTTAATAATTCAGATCTAAATATTTTCTCCATCCTCGTTCCCCATTGACCTCATGTCAGTTTTTTCCTCACGAGTGAAAGTCTTTAGAAGGCATTTGTCAGTGATCGTACTCGAGCACGAGTCGATCTCGTCGAGTGGATAGGATGTCGCTTGGAAGACTCCGGTTTCCTCAACGCGGACTCCTGAGCGGGGAATAGAACTTCGCTGAGTGTTCTGTCGTCTGCTAAAGGGCGCCCATTGCTTTGTTTACATTGCACAGAGGCACTCACTCGCTTGCTCTTAGTGAGTAAGACTGGCTTTGCCTAGGCCGGACGTTCTCTCAGACTCGATACCGACCGAGTAATGTCGCTCGAGGGAGCGAACCCTGATTTTCCCTGTGGGGAGCTCCGAGATGCGCATTGCTTCTGGATTTGCGTGAGGGATCGGCTCGAAGGTTGCAATCAATTGGCTCGTATACTGGAGCTCTAGTAGAGTTCAGGCCAGAGCTCAGTCAGACGAATTCCGGGATGAAGGGAGAGACCATCCTGCTCGGATTAAGCATTTCCCTGGGGGCGGAAGTCAACGCGGCCACCTATTGGAATAAGGCTCCCGCTCGCTGGAGGGGCGGTCACGCCTCGAATACGAATTCCCAGTGAAGCGTCGAACTTTGCGAGTACTTCGCGGATTCTTCTCTATTCCCGGGGTCTTAAGCGAGATGCTAATGCCGGGATCCGGCGCTCCGCCATCTATTAGTTCTTGGTTAGCCCATCGTTGAATGAATTATCCAGTCGGAGAACAGCGACGTCAGGGGCGAATTATAAGAGAGTATAAAACTCTAAATGAGCTCCTAGGCCTGAATCTTGCAGCGCGAGGCCAGTTTCCACAGGCGAAGGCGTGGAAACCCCCTCGGGAAGCTGCCTTGAAGAGGGGTCGCCCGTCGGGAGCTGCTCGTTAGCACATTCGTGACGTCTTTTCGTGTTTTCGCTCCCCCATTCCGTCGACGCGAAGTTGCTCAAGGCATCGCGCTCTTTGAGAATATAGATATTGACCGGATCGTCTGAGCACTCGAATTGGGACTTCCATGGAGCCCCGAGTCTCGACCGATCAGACATTTGCAGATTCGAGAGCGAGAACTTCCTGACCGCCGATCGATGTAGCGAGCGAGCGATCGGAAACTCCACACTATGTGAGACGCAGTCCGATCAAACAAAGAGCCGTCATCCAACTCTCGGCTCTCGAATCTTTCACCCGAATTTGTTAAATCGTTGAGGCGCGTCCTTATCTGTCGCTCGTATGCGGAAATCAGGAGCGGGCCCATAATTCCCATTGAGAGGAGCGATTCGACTCGCTTCCCGGTATCATACGGTGAGGTGCTTGTCGCGGCTACCAGCGCCACAACCACCGCCATATAAGCAGTCGCGTAGATGACTTTTAGACGTCGCTGTATGTGACGTGCGTACAATGGGTAGCTCCTTCTAGCCCGGGTCATATCCGGCCACAGGGAACATCCTATCAGTGCAGTGGCGGCGATGAGCGGCAAACCTCTCGTGAATGAGACGAAAGACACGCTCGTTGGCTCTCAGTCCCTCCCCGAGCCGCGCTCAGCGTAGGTACGTGCGGAGCGTCATCCATCATAGGAGAGGTGGGGTGCTTCCGCGATGAGTCTAGCAGCCACTCGAGACGATGAGAGAATCCACCGTTGTACTCTTCGGTGTCTGAGGATGACGCAACGACAGCCGTTGGCCGCCCTGCTTACATGCAGTTCGGCGTGTGCGAAACTTGGAGCAGGCACGACGAAACAATCAGAAGACTTCGTTGTGCCGTCGAACGGAAACATGCAGGAGCAGTCTGCGAGCGGAAACTGTCGGAATAAAGTGCGGGTCCCGAGGAAACGGGCTCATTAGGACATGATGATGACGACAATGATGACGTTAACGGCCGCGGTTTTTCCACGCGTTTTTGCCGCATGGACTCCTTCGCTCTTCGATGCAAATGTGAGATGGCGAACTCCTCGCAAATACTCCGTCTGCTCTCTCCATCCAGGGTGACGGGACTTCGGCGGGAATTCCATTCAGAAAAAAAGTCCCTAACTCGCTGCAAACGGACACAGAACTAACAGGGGTCGAGGTCCACGAATAAATCATGCTCTCGTTCGCCGCGATCGGAGCTGCTTCCAACTTGTTCGAGCTAGAGCAGTAAGAATCAGTTCTCCTCCCGGCTAATAATGGCAGACGGTCGTGGCAGCAGCAGAAGCTTAAAAACAGGCATGTCATCACGAGTGATGGAAGCAGCGAACACAGAAGGAGCATGCGCGCGTGCCGTATGAGCTTGAAGGAGTAGGAGCTGTCGGCCGTGGAGAGCCAAGCTAGGTAGTCAGTGATCCCTAAAAATGCCCATCAAACTGATCCTTCCATGCCCAGGAGGGCTTTCCTGTAATCCTTATGTGGAGGACCAGGACGAGAAGTAGAGGAAGGACGCGAGAGCGGAGAAGACGACGTCGACGGCGGTGATGGCGATGGAAGCAGGAGTTGTGCCGCGGCCGTTGCGTCGGCAGCAGCCGGAGCGTAGAAAATGATTCAACAAGGAGTTCGCTGGAAGGTTATTACGCGTTATTCTGACGTAGAGTTGGTGAGTTGGTGGAAGTGGCGGCATATTTGCGGAGAGAGATGCCGCTTCGTATCGCCGCTCGGCCAGAAGTCGGGCCGGCAAAAATGGAGCTCTTGCCTCTCGAGGAGCCGAGGATTCCGACAACGAACCGGAGACGGAGAACACACTTAACGCATTCACAATAGACTGGCTTCCAGTCGAGTATTAGTCTTGCTGATCGGAGCACGCTTGGTAATGCGATGCAGTTGTTCTCGAGGCTGGTTTTTATTTGCTGAGACACTTCGCTGCGCAACTGTTTATCATGGAGCAACTCCCACAGGGCCGGCCGGCCGGCAGGCTATGTGGTCGGACAATGGCAGGAAAACGAATTGGCGGCAAGCAGGCACCCGAATGAGCGGGAAAAGAAAGCCGACGGAGATAGCGATGATTTTGCCCGGATTCGAGCCCACGGGCCGGGGGAGGAGTCTTTATCCTTCACTCTTGGCTACCAGAGGTCGCAAACGCGCTTGTTCGACGTGAGCCGTTCCTTCTTCGTGGAAGCGGGCCCGGACGACGAAATTGATCCACTTATTCCATGCTTCGATATTTCTGATCGCGAGCTCTGCCGCCTCCCCTGCGTGAGGAGCTCGCTTGCACCCTGTCGTGTTTTCGTTGATGTCAATTTCTTCAGACGAGGACGTCTTGCGCCTCTGAAAAAAGGTTTGTAGCGAGCGGCGGCTCGGAGGAAAAGGGGGAAATTCAGATGGTGCTCCCGAGTAAAGTGGGTATGAGTGTGTTTGTGAAGAGCAGGTTGTGTATCGGAGTAAGCCGAGCTGCCTCACTGGTCTGCTTTGGGCGTTTTGTCGATACATCCCTTCCTGTCATCCTCCTCTTTCGCCAAGCTGCAATCGAGGAGCTCACCCAGGACGCGGAAGGAGACGTCGGGAAAGAATAGGGAGACGAGGAAGAAATCAGGACGACGGTGATAATGCGGAGCGTATCAGCGAACAGGCTCACGAGTGAGGAGAATGAAACTGAATGACGCTCCGATGAACCGGGGGCTAATGGTTCGTCACAAGAAAGTTGAGAATGAGATGACAACACGTGTGAGTGCGCTCACTTTCTTGCGCGCGTGCAAATGACTCGGGTGCCCCACCTCGCATCGGCACCGAGAGCGAATCGGGCCACCGAGAGACGGTTTTTATAGCCGGCCCGCCGGTGTTCGGCCATTATCAATTCAGTGGCATTAGCAGCAGAGCCGGAACTAGGCACAGCGAGCTTCAAGCTCTATTCCAACCACGCACATAATACAGATAAGAACCATTTTTTCATCATAATCGATGCGATCTGCATCGGCGAGCGGCCTCGGGCTGTATAGCCGTGAGATACGAATCAGGGGATTCATATAATATGATAATTGATGATTGGCAGGTGGAGGGCGAACGCGATGAAAGAAAAAAATACCGGAGGAGAGCTCGGTTCTGATCGTCGAACGATTGCCATAGAAAACGGTTTTCACCAGAACTGAACGACCGGTGCAGTGGAGTCTGTCTGCGCAATTCGAGTAGGTGGGATGCGCGTGTCAAACGCGCTAACCGTTCGATTTTCGACCATCTCGTCGGTGCTTTCATTTTCGTATCGCAAAGATGCGACTCCATCGGCGGAGCATTTGTTCGCTGCATACTGCCTTCGTCGAACGATCTAACAGAATGGCCCCGATATCTCGATGGAACAACTCCAAGAGACAGTCCTAATGTGTTTAGAAGAGTCGATTCGATCCATCTTGGGGAGCAGTCGTGTTTTTGACAAGCCGGCTGCACCATCATATATCTATATGGCGCAGGGTGAGTCGAGGACCGGGGAGTATTCAGCGACTTTTCAGCTCGATCCCCACAAGCTCAACGTTGTCCACTAGGCCCGTTGGCCCTCTGGCGGGCTCAACTCACCTCAATTGTGGAGATACAGCGGTGAGAGGCAAGAGTTTCATTCGAGCAGATTCCCCTTATTTTGAGCTCCGCTCCGCACAATTGCGCTGCCACGATTAAAAGCAAGCCATCAAATGTCGATTGTCCGGCGGCACGAAATTGCCGATGGGCTCGGTGGTGGAATGAGTCGTAATTAGAGTTTCCCTTCCGGTGGCGATCCCCTGTTTCCATTCTCCCTTGTATGGGAGTACCTCCCGATGGAAAACGAGCGCTCAGATCCTGTCGCGGAATGTTTGAGAGGGGAGCTTGCCACGTTCCGCGGAAAAAAATGAATCCAGGGAATGCGCGTACCGTGAGCGGATTCACCAGGATCTTGAGTTTTATCTACTAATTGGTGAGCGAGCTGCTCAGACTAAGCTCCGGTCGCTTCACAATCATGTCAGGCGAGAGGTTTTCAAACTCCGGGGAAGTCATAAAAAAATCGCGATACGGTGCCGTTCGCAACTCCCGCCTCGATACAGTTTTTACGTGTTTCATCCTGGAGTAAAACCGGACGATTGGCTGCTCATTCTCGAAAAGCTGAGCGAGGTTTCCAGGAATTTAATGCGTAGGCCTCCAATTTGAATAATGCATTCCTCCTCTTGCATCTTGTTGGTACCGCCGCCGCCCCGTCGCATTAAATTTTCGAGATGAAAAAATATGAAATATACCCGGACGGGATCCCACCACCGACGCTCTCAGAGCGCTCGCTATACAGGTTTCACAGCGATGAAATCTTTGTCCCGGAATCACTATCGAGAACGAAAAACATGGCTCTGTCTCCCAGATAGCTTGTCATCATATCTTTAGTTGTCGCTCCGATCGAGGTCTCGCGAGGGGATTCGTTCCAGCTCGACGGGCCAGGCCGTCGACGCCATTCGCTCTGAATGAGCATGGAAATCACGCTCGGGGTCATTGAAGACAGTTTTTCTCCCGAGACTCCTTTTTCCCCGTTTCCTTTTGGTCAAAATCTTTTGGACCTCCGCTCCCATTGTGCTGCATACCTCGCTCACAAACGGAGCTTCTTTTCACTCGTGCGTGGGGTGTGCTGTATGCAAGAGGACGTTCATCGTCAAGAAACTTCCGCGGCCGAATCCAATGTAGGAACAGCGGGGCAGCGATGGCAGCAGATGTCTCTCACTTTGACTTTCCTTTTTGCCGGCTGTTCTCGTCGCAACGTCTTCCCTCCATTCTCTCGGCCAACCGTTTGGAGCCCGTGTGGGTCGAACACGTCCACAGAATGATATCGTCGACTGTTCCTTCCTCGGAGCTGGATATTTATTGGAGTTTATTGAATGAAATCCCGGCAGGGAAGATGATTGGCCACCTTCCTCATTACTTCATCCCCTTCCCCCTCTTCCTCAGCCGCGGCCTGGCAACGACTTCCCTGGAACCGGAATCCCATTATGCCGAATCCGTCCCGCAACTAATCGAGTGTGACGCACGACTGTAATTTCGAAATGGGTTTTGATCAAGTCGAGGTCTGAACGCAAGGTCTAATATCATTTTCAGTTTCGCGGGAATCGCCTCTCCTAAAGGCGAAGAATTAGGAACAGCTCCTACTGGCTGCTGAGTTGAATTATGAGGGCGAGTCGACGACTCATCTGAGGAGCGCTCGCTTAATTCAGTGCCCACCGCAGTCCCAGGGGCGGCTCCTCGCTCCACGTCGTCCGTCGCTCCTTCGTTTCATCGTGGTTTAATTCAATTTGTGCATTAAGACACTTCGAACAGCAGAACTCAACTCCCCTGACTCCACGACTCGGGACAGAAACGGCTGCGACAGAGTAAGGAGCACTTTGCGATCTCACCGAGTTGACTTGCACGCTCTGTGTACCGAAGTCGGGACCGTGTGGAGTCTCCTGAATGAGCTGAGCTCAACTCGGATCTGCCGCTTCCTTGAAAAAGGAGACAGGAGTGCGGGGGCAAGGGAAGGGGGAAAATGAGATAGGGTCCTGCTGATGCTGGCGGCGGCTTTCTGCCGGAAGTTCGCATTGAATGCTATCAGCGATTTGGCGGCGGCGGAGCGACGAACACGAGCGCATCATTAAAGCCCTCGGTCCCCGCGTCGTGTACCTCGGTCGGTAACGGTCGACTTCTTGCTTTCCCTCATCCGCACATACCTGTATGTTCAGCAAGCCAGCGAGTACCTAAATGCGAAGACATCATCCATTCGATCATTCCTCCGAGGCGAATACGATATGCGGCATACATTTGTGAGGAATATTTGCTTCCATCCTTCATTATGCCTTGCCGGATGCTCTCTCGCTCGAACGTCTCTCAGCCGAACGGCATTATCCAGACGGGTTCCTCAATAACGGAGGAATATTATTTTTGTGAAAATCTCGTTTTTTTCTGTCTCGAAGGAGAAGTTCCCTATCCTGCGATCGAGGAGCTTCTCTGGTAATGTCTTCGATTTTTCACGCAGCTGAGATTCCGTTGGCTGCACGAGACGTCTCGAGCGGAGGGACTTCGCGACATACGCAGCAAGGAAGACGCACGGTCGGAGGTCGATGGGGGAACTCGCTCGCAGACAGCAGATCACGTAGTCGGTCCGGAGTCGCGGTGCGAAAGCCTTCTTCATTCTTTACTGCTTTCAATTTGTTGGACCGGACGAACATTCTATTCCATCATGATGTCGAGAATTCTCAAAAGAGACATAGTTCGAGCTCGAATCTCAACCGCGTGGAGCGCGAAAGTTTCGCTCAGCTAGCCGGGAATGCACGTCCGGGGACGCAAGCCATAACTTTTGCAAAGAGGCGCGCCGTCGCGTCGGGCCGAGCACGAGCGTTCGTTCGTGCTTGAGCCCCGACCATGCTCCGGGACCTGGACTAGGATGGAGCTTGGAGTCTGCGTGCGCGGGGACCGGACTCCGAGAGAGAGAGAAGGAGAGTGGGAGAGAGATACGTAGTCATGCATGCATGTGTGCATGCACGACCGACATTTACGTATGACCTGTCTTCCTTTTTGGCCGCCACACAAAAATGCGTATGCCGAGAACTCGATGCTCACAAGCGGCTACCGACCTGAAACCAATCTGTTATATGGAATGCGATTCACTGCGAGTCGTGCGAGGAGGAAATAAATGGAGAGATCTAAATATCAAAGCCGAAGGCCAAAGGTTTTGGACAGGCTTGGAAAAAGCGGGTTTTGAACGCACCCGCTTCCCGAACGCCGACTTTTGTTGGTGCTCGTCTGAAATCTACGCTCGAAAATGCATCCGAGGCGGGGAGAGGACGCCGACGTCATGTCTCCCTGACTCGAATACGTGTTGTATATTCGTGTACCATCGGGTTTGGCTTGATGAACTAATCGGAGATCCAGATACCAGTCGGCGCTTCCGGTCGTCCGCGGTTATCCAGCCCTCTTGCTGACGGATCCCCAAAGCTCACCAGTAACTCGCTCGCTAGTATGCCCTCAAGGAGCCCGTACCGCGAGCGTATGCATCTCTCTTCTGGGTGGATAATTCTCCCGTGAGCGGCAAGCAGGACCAACATGCTGTATTCTCCGATGTGACTCCAATGGCACTTTGCAGAAAATTCATGCAGAAGCGCGCTTCCTCAAGCCTGTGGTTTGCGTCATCCGCGAGAATCACGCGAGAGGCTTGAGCATTATAAGAGTTCTCTCGACAAATGAGATAGATTCCAGGCCTGATAAGTGACCCTGAGCTATCCCCCTAAGAGTCTGCACCCCGTTTTCGTCGGCAGTCGGCAGGTCGAGTGCTTATGGTGCCAATGACAGCGCCTCCCTGACGGATGCCATCGAGACAGTGCCTGTAACTTCGATTGACTGAGCAAGAAACTGGCGGCAACGCTCGAACCCTTCCGTGATAGTGAGGGGTCGGTTTGAGGAACGGATCTATCTGGAGTCGGCCACGGGCGAACAGCGTGTTCTAGATCCTTCGGAATATAATTCGACGCAAGGAAAAGGAATGGAAAATTGTTGAAATGATGGAAATATTGGATCGGCATCCCCCAGTACCGAAAATGACTCCATTAGGCGACGGACAGGGATACCGTGGGATCATCGGCGACAGCGGGGAATGCGGGGCTGTGGTCAATTATTAGGAATCAGAATCACTCCAAACTCGGCTCAGGTGCAGGAAAGAAATTGAGATAACCATTTTTTCTTCCTTTCAGGATAAGAAGCTGGGCGGTGCGTTTTGCCAAGGACCTGAAAGTTGCGAACGAAGTTGCATCAAATTATAGCGCTATTAAATCGGTGAGCGAAATGCGAGAGCTCCTTTTTTGCAGCAGAGCTTTCCCATACTCCGCCTGGAACAATGCTGGGTACTATTCCAACACCGCCATCTCACCTCGAACGATCGATACGGCAAGACGGTCTATTCGCCTAGCTAGCGTGAGAGCGGACTTCTCATCCCAACGCATTAGCTGGAAATTGTTGATTCGTCGATAATGCAATGCACTGCCGTCATGAGTCATGAGTTGTAATCGAGCCTCGATTTCATGACGGATCGATGCTAATCGAAACAAAAGCCTCCGGCGAAACATGACGCTGATCGCTCTGCATCTTTAGCCCATCGAGCGAAGGGAGATGAACGCGGCTAGCGATTGAGTCAGTATCATCGAGGATGGGTTCGATTAGCGAGTTGCGAGACCGCGAAGCCGATTAGCGGGATTCCGACTCTCGTCGTACTGCATCAAGCGAGCCAACGAGAGGCAACAGTGTTGCGGATTCCGCTGCGGCACCGGATTCCTCTCGGCAGCATGAGAAACAATTTGGACGCAAAAGCGACCGACGAGCGGGCCGGCCCATCGGCGGAGCGAGGTTCTTCGTTTTCTCTCGTTCTTTCCGCTTTTCTTTTCCTCTCTGTCTCGAAGGCAAGCTTTAGATAAGGCTGAAAAATGAATCCTGAGGGAGCACGGAAAAGCTCGTTGGCAAACCAGTGAGCCAGTCCCAGCAACCGAGCCCCGCCACATATTCGTTCATTCGTTCCTTGGCCGACGGGGCGGGTGGCGGTGCGGACGGACAAAACGGGTCCCTAAGTGATGATGTCGACACTTTTGAACAATGCAACTTTTCCCGCGTCACCGCTCATTCCTTAGCGTCGTCGGTACCCCTGGGAAAAGAGGCTCGGTCAGGACCTCCTACACACAATCGGTTAGCGCCCCATCCCAGCGGGCGGGCAGGCGACGCGGTGCCCAAGCCTGGCTCGGCGTCGGGGAGCCAACAAAGTAATCTTGGGCTCAATTAGCTGTTCATTAAGCAAAACTAAATAGACTGATTCCAAGCTGCCGAGTGCAGACAATGAGGCCCGCAAGGTAACTCGCTCTTTTCTCTTCCTTTCTCGTCCCAATCGTCGTCGTCTCGGCATCGCCTCTTCGTCATCATCATTACTTCGCTCCCAGTCATTCGACAAGGACTACAAAGTCGCCCGGAAAGGCAATCGATTGTTTGAAGACATCACACGCTACCTTGCCAACCTCGTCAAAAAGAAACAGGATTCGGTCGAAAACCTCTACAAAGAAACAGAGAAACTTGTTGAGAATTCTCGGTTTGATGGCGGCATCCTGGAAATCGTGAATGCGAAACGGCTCGACCGTGGCAACGAGAATCGCTATCTACACCCGGACGGATGCACTGACGAGTTGGGCGCGCTTAGGCGTGACGAAGAAGGTGAGCGTTCTCGGCCATATATGTCTCCCGCTAGTTCATCTGATCGCCGGGAGGAAGAGCTAAACCTAAACTATCGAATGTTTGATCCTCAGGAAACATCAGTCCCGGGTGCGTAGAGAAGCGTCTCGACTTGAACTACTCCTCGTATTTTGGCCAGCTTGTCAGCTTTGAGAAGAGCGCCATACACGTTGCGACGAACATTTACACCCGAGGTAAGCCGTCGGGGAGCAAACAAACCCAAAGCGTACTCATTCTTTTCCTGCCGCTTTTCTGGAATCGCTCCCGCGTTGCACTCCTTTCGTTTCCCGCCTGACGAAGGAATCCTACTCACGGTCCACGGTAGTGGCGTACGGTCGTTTTCGGGAGGGATCGGGAGGACTGATGACGACCATGAGTCTCTTGCGCATCGTCATTGAAATGCATCACCGATTTGATGAGTTCAGGGAACAGACGAAAGAAGCAACGAAAGGAATGACCGTTGTCATCTGCTCGAGAATTCTCTTTCATGCGAATGTCCCCCCTTTGCCTCTGGAGTTCCGGGGCGAGTTATCGAATATGTCTCAGTGCATTGAATGAGCCCCTCCGTTCTCGTACTCCGGACGAAAGTCTCTCCCGATGGTCTTCAGCGCCGTTCCGGTCCCATCTTCGGCAGGTCCGAGAAAGCTGGAAGCTCGTCTGCCTTATCGACTGCAATCGTCGAACTCGTGTAGCAGCTCTGTGAAGATGTTGTGGGAGGATCGGTGGCGGAGAAGATTCAGGATAATGGCAAGAAGCACTCCTTCCGTCCGGAACGAGAGAACATGCGGGAAAGTACACGCTACGAGCGAGATTCCGGAAACCTGGAGGGGCGAAGTGCGGTGGGCGTGCATCCCAGCAAGCGCAACTATTCCCACCGACGGATGGACAACAACAAATGCTGCGGCACTTGTTCGCCCCGTCGGATGCTCGTTGAGTTCGAGAATATGTTTTGGCGCATTTTCCTAGCTGTTGCGTACTTTGCAAAGTGCATTTGGTCGTAAAGACACCGGAGGAGAGAGCACCTCCGCCAACTCACACCCGAACAGCGGAAGCAGCTGCGGTGGAAGCGCCGAGAGGATGCGCGACACGGTGGGAATAATCTTCGGGCGCCGCGCTTTTGCTGAGTCCGTACGACAAAAAAGTAGTAGATGGAAGCAATAGAAGAAGCATCGGACAAGATATTGCCATAAATTACCGGCATCGGCGCCAGCGACCGCTCCCACCTCAACTGCCTTTCCGCATCGGCGTATCGCAGCAGCGAAATCTCTTCCGGTGAGAGATGTACGTTGAGATATCGCGACCATTATTGGTCGCATGCTCATCAAGCGGCGTTGGAAAGGCTGCGAAGGAAAGTGTCGCGAAGAGCAGAGTGTTCCGAAAAGACATGCAATTCTCGTCTTTGAGAACGAGGCACTCCGAGACACCGTTTTTTTGATCGACATTCGCATGCGAATCACTTCGCAGACTATCGCGGGAAGCGAATCTTTGAAAATGTTCCAATCGATATACCCACCCTCCGGCTTCAGCAATCTGAAGAGTGGCTGAATGATAATAAATTTGATAATTATTATTATTATAATGATGATGATTGAAGATGATGAACTCTCTTCTTCTTTTTCCAGCCGAGCATGTGCTTCACGCAATACAAATGTCGTCAGGGCTGGACAACCGCTTCAGAGCCAACCGCGGCTCCGACCCCTATCTTTCGTTCCAGTTCTTTTGTAGTCATACTGGATTCCTAAGGCTGTATCCTGGTAAGTTGCAGTCAGTCCTGTTCTCACCATGTGTCGGCTGTCGCCTAGCGATGAGGCTGTTCGCCCCTGGATTTCTTCTCTTGTTGAATTAATACTAATCCACGATCCTGTGATCGACGCAGCGGTCCAATGGCCGGACATGGATCCCGACATGTATGAATGCCGCAGTCGCTCCTGGTACGTCCAGGCAGCGGCATCGGCAAAGGACGTTGTCATCCTCCTGGACGTCAGTGGGTCCATGACCGGACTGCGGAAAGAGATTGCCAGGAACGTAGTCGTCAATATCCTCGAAACTCTGACGGATAACGACTTTGTTCAAGTATTAACGGTGAGAGAGACAATTTCTCCTTTGTTCGTTCCGGGCGGCCTCTCCGCCCGAGGGAATTCTGTCTCCCGATCCCGGGACGTCGACAAGACCCACTCCTTTGTCACACTGAGGGAATCCGCTTGTTTCCAGTTCAAAAATGATTGCGCCCCGCTGGTACCGTGTTTCGATCAGCCGGTCCAGGCGAACCAGCGCAACATACGGGAATTCAAAGAATATCTGAACAAGCTCGACACGCAGAACATAGCCAACTTTTCGTTAGCGCTTACCGAAGCATTCGAGCTGCTTCAAAGGGTGAGTCCGTCGCGAGTCGTAGAAACAAAGTGCGCAATTGTGCTCAGTGAGTCATAATTGGAATGCCGAGGCGCAGTAAATGAGATAATTTGCGCGTCGTCCGAGCAATGGGAGTTTGTTCGGAGCTTAGAAGACGCAGCGTTGACTGGCGAGAAACATTCCGCGCTAGCGTCAGACGACGAGCAGGTGTTAACTTTTCGCTGTTACACAAAGCCGCATAAGCGAGCGGGAAGGCGGGCATGCGGAGAAACAGCAAGAATAAGAGACTCATAGTGGTGCGAGCGCGCGGGGAAAATGCCTACTTCCGCATAGAGTCGATGAATTATGCAGGAGCTTGTTGCCGAACAATTTCGCCGGAGTCCACAAGAATGCCATGCAGAGGAAACAAGGAGACAATGAAATAAGTCCCGAGCGATGTGTCTTCGGTGACCGCTCGGCGAAAGAGCGATCCGACTTTGGATTCTCCGAAAATCGCGATCCCTGTGCTCCCACATCGATCGGGGCCGGACACACCGGGGCTCCGCTATGGACTGGGCGCCTTGATCGGCTAATCACGGTCTGGGCTCGGAATTTCGATCCCGAATATAGGTAAACCCACTCGGTCGATCGTCGTCTCCTCATCAGCTTTGGCGGCGTTGGTGGCTGTGCGTGCTCCACCAGCACCGTCGATAATAATTGCTACTCGCGGCAATTCGACGACGACGCTCGCCGAGGAGCATCGGAGCTCACTCAGTCAGATCGGTCAGTCGGAGTCGTGACGAAATTTTGATCGATTTCAGTTCAATCGATCTAAAGGCGGATCGCAATGCAACCAGGCTATCATGTTAATAACGGATGGCGCCCCCAGCAACTACCAAGACATCTTCTTCCGCTACAACTACCCCAACATTCCCGTGCGAGTCTTCACATATCTTATCGGAAGGGAGGTCACCGATACTAGAGAGGTCAACTTGATGGCATGCAGCAATAGAGGTCGGTATTCGAGTCGGCTCCCGGAGAGATGTGCTCCTCTCCTCGGTGTCGGCATTAGGTCGTTCCGAGAATTCCTCCACCGGCCCAGTTGACGTCTGGACCATTCCATTCCCCCCGAGCAGACGTCATAATCAGACGATTGAAACATTCGTTCATTCTCCCCAGGCTACTACACCCACGTTACAACGTTAGCAGAAGTTAGAGAGCAGGTTTTGGTGGGTATCGAACATCCGATAAGTTTAGATCGGAGTCGCCGATCAGCGAAATGCCAGCCTCAGCTCCCCGGAACTGACAGCTCAATTCTTTTCTTCCAGAAATACATCCCAGTCATGAGTAGACCAATAGTCTTAGCGAGAAAACACCCTGTCATCTGGACCGCAGCCTATCCAACGGTCACCGTAAGTGAACTTTGCGATTCGTCATGAGGACTCATCGGAATTATACGTGCGGAGCAGCTTCTTGAACGCCTCCCCCGTATTGCCTGATTTCCAGGAAACACTACTGACCGATAACTTGTGGGAGGAACGCGAACGCGGGAGATTCAAAGCCGAGGGATTGAAAAATTTACGAAGGCGAATGCAGAGGGATAGCCATATTAGAGATCCGGTGCGTAGCCTGGTGCTCGAGTCGAATCAACACAATACGACCCCAGAAAGAGTCTCGACAGAGACTCATGAACATTCTATTCGATTTACAGAACAGCAGCGAGTATGAAGACTACAGCGGCGAAAGCACTGCGACCGTAAGTAAATCGAGCAGCATCAGTTTTTTCGTAGAGTTCGAAAATCTCCGTCGTCTCGCACGTCCCTCGTTTGGGCTATCGTATAGGAAAACGTTACGCAATTTGATCCACTTCCCCGAGTATCGAGAGAGCTACAGTCGCGGGTTCGATCGTTGTTGGCAAACAAATTCTCGTCTCGTACTCGAGAACAATCCATCGTTCACTCAACTCCACCCATCGTCAATAAGGACAGGCGACAGTGGCCGCACCTCTTCGGCTTGATCTCCTGAGAACCAAAAAAATATCTCCTGAACGTATTCGATTGGAATGCCTGAAATTCGACGCGGACTCCTTCTTTAGCTAAATTATTATCCAAGCCAAATCTACCAACCTTGATTGTAACAAACCAAAACGTTCCGTATTCTCGATGTCAGGATGAAGATTTCGAAGGAGACGAAGAGGAAGCTGAAAGCCGTCGCCGTAAGAAGAGAAGCCCCGAAGAAGCTGTTAGAAGTCTAGCTGCTGGCCTGGGAGCCCCGAAAGGAGATATAAGTATGACCTTGCTCACCGATCATCTGGCACTCCGCCCCGAGAACAGAGATTTTCCTGAATCGAAAAAGCGCAGACCTGTCATGCTCACCACCGTAGCCATTCCGGTGTTCAACGTAACCAAAGGAGAGAACGATACGGTGGGTTCCTCCATGACATCCTCGCCGCCTCGGATTCCTCGGAGCGGTCGATGATGGTCAACTAACGATGTTGATACGTATTCGTTGAATAACCGAGGGCTGATAATCGTCTTCTGCTCCTTGTAGAACGTTACATCACATCTACTCGGTGTCGTCGGCATTGATGTGCCCGTGAGAGAACTTGAACGATTGGCTAGTCCGTTCCAGTTGGGAGTCAACGCATATCCCTTCATCCTCAACAAAAATGGACACCTCATCTCACATCCGGATCTCAGACCGATGGTATTTTTTAACTCCACGGGATTCCTCTCCTGTAGAGAGAAGTCACGAAATTTTCGGCCTACCGATGACCCTCACTGACCGAGTCGCGATCTGTTCTGCCTTTAGTTCCAGGACCTAGTGAAGCCGTTCCACAGTAATGTAGATCTACTGGAAGTGGAACTTCTGGACAATCAGCTGAGCGCCAGAGACTTTTCACCAGCATTCAAAAACATGCGCAAAAACATGATTGACGGGCGGCGGGGCTGGACTGATCCTCACAATGTGCGCGTCCACATGGATGGAATGGTATGTGGCACCGTCTCTAGCCGGCGAAGATGACTTACATTCTATTCATATTTTAATCATCGTTCACCTACACGCTGTCATGGCGAGTTCTTGAGTCTCGCAATTGCCTGGATGTTTCATTCGTCTGATCTACGTCCGAGTCGACCTCGCACGCGCTGTTCTCTATGACATTTGCCTATTCATTCTTCATTGCCCCATGCTCGCTCGCATAATCCTGATTCCCCGGTGGCTTGACATCTCTGATGAGTCGAGACTTCCACGAAGTACAGCGGTCCCGCTCCCTGGCGGGGAAACCCACTGTCCTGCTCTAATGATAACGTTTGTCTCTCTTTCGTCTCCGATTTGCAGAAGCGAGTGGCCGTGCGAAAACATCGGTACTTTTTCGGACCGGTCGGACATTCGGTGTTCTCGCTGGCCATCGCTCTTCCTCAGCCGTATGGCGTTCATGGAGTGGATGCGCAATTCGAACTCAGCAACCCCGCCAATCAAAAAATCGATGGTGAGAGTCTCGGATGAAGATCCTGCCCTCTGCTCCCGCATCCAATCCTTGTCGGCGCGGATTTCGCTAACCTCGCTTCCGTTTCAGTATTCAAAACGTACTTTGAGGGTACTGACTGGCATGTGCATCCCAATTGGACTTACTGCGAAGACGACAACGCCGAGCGGGGGTTCCACAGCAACAACAAGGATAGCATCGACCACGTCCAGAAACACGCCGTCACTTCTTTATTGAAGGCCTGGCGAAGCGAGAAAAACCCCAAATTCACGCTCGAGGCCAATAGGCCCAACAAGATGCATTCGTTCAAATCGTGGACATGTGAGTCGTGAGAGATCGTCGAGCTTTTCATCCAATCGGATTCCATGAGGGCACATGGCGATTGCCTCCTTTGACACTGGCGAAATTCCAGGCGATCTTGAACTGCTTCAAAGTTTGATCTTCGACGCCTCCCGGACGGCTCCGCACATACTGGAGCAAATAAAGACTCAATCGCCCTCGAACACGAAAAGCCGTGCGAGGTGAGTCTTTCGGCCCTAGCCGATCTCATTAAGGACCGAGACTTCCACATCATCATAATCACTATCATTTGGCAAACACGACGATTCCCAATTGTGTTCGCCAATGGAATCAGCTGGTTCTGGCAGGGAGACAGTCAGCATTTTCGATGCTTTCGAGTTTCGGGTCCGAGTCGTGATTTCGTCCTTGACTGGTCAAGTCATTCCGAATACAGTCGAGGGAACAGAACTTCCCCACTTTTGCTCTCTTGATTGGCCTACTGAAGAACTGTCTCTCCGCAGCCAGCTGCGTCTCGAATCTCTAGTTGAAACCCTAGCTTCCGTAGATCCCATAACTCCCGACCGAGTGAGGCTTCACGTGAATTCCGATCTCAAGCTCGAATGTCCAACGGAGAGAGTAGAAATCAAGAGAAAGCACCGGTCTTTGATCGGACTCCGGTGCGACATTGGCTCCGTCTGACGGAGACTTGAGCGTCCGCGATCGCAAGTCTAACGAGACATCCTCTTCCTTTGCTGCTCCCTTGGCGATGATTTTCTTTTTTGCTACCCAATGGACTCGCGCTTTCTAACCTATATCTATTTCCCTCACGAATACATCAAACGCATATTGATATATATTGGATGAATATACTTATATACGAATCAATGATCAATCAATCGATCAACTGAATAATCGATGGAACGACTGAAACAATTCCGCGTACTACTTTTAAATTAATTGAGTAGCGTGAACACTCCGCTGCATACCTTACTCCAGCTACTTCCCAGGTAACTTGGATTTAGATCCGACCGGTCCCGTCGTGCCGTTCTCCTGCGACTCGACACTGACCAAACTCCGGGTTGAGGATCGCTCTGGGAGAAATCGCTTCAGTCTTTGGTTTTTGCTTCCGGAACCATTTCTTACTTTGCCCTAGAGAGCGAAACATATCGAGACGCAGTGGAACGGTCGGCCGGGGACAGTCTGTCGATAGGACAACAGACAAAAATCCTGAATGCGTCCGAAATCGGGACCGACGCTCCGGGACTCTATCATCGGCTCTCCTCGATGATTATTCGAATGCTTTGCGGCATTTAGCGAAACTACTTGTTCTGTGGAGAAGTTGGATGACACCATTTAGTTGCTCTTGATTCCTTTGTTCGAAAACTCGAAACCTTCGCATGATCCCTTAATTCAGATGTCGGGACGCCTGTGGCTCCGGTAGCTCGTCGATCGGCTTCGTGAGCGTCCGAGTCGAGACCGAGCAGCTTAAATGATCGTTCACCTACTTCTTCAGGGATGTTCTCACGAAGAGCAACGGGATCGTATCAGCTTTTGTCGCGACACGAAGTGGACTTCTGCGGGTGCAAACGTTCGATAATCGAGAACCTCACCCTGAGTACGAGTAAGCGATCCGCCCCCCCCCCTTCGGAACCGGCATCACAAGCCGCGTATTATTATGATGATAATAATAATATTTTGAATCATAGAAATTCTGATCGAGCTCTAGTCGGGAAACAATTACTGAATCACTCGCTACTCCACAGGAAATTCCACAACAAATATCCAAGATCCATCGACGAGCTGTTCTACAAGCGCGCTGTAGACTTTTACTATCATTCTAATGCATCGAAAGAGGCATTCGTCTATTCTGTGCCATTCGACGCTGGAGAGAGGTGAGGAGGCGCTTGCGGAGATGTTCCGAACCAATTCGGGGAATTCTGACACTTTAATAACGATTCAACCAACCGCGACGGAGTCGAACTTGGTGCAATTTCGACACGGACCTTTATCTATACTCGATTGAGTGAAAACGCTCCGGAACTTCAGTAGGCGCTCATGATGCTCGGGACATTCCTGAAGGATTCGATTCGAATCATCCATGTTCGGGTTTTCGGCAGAATCCGGACCGTTCACGCCTCGGAGTCTTCGCAAGTTCCGCGGACGACGCCGACCTGCTCCGGAAGAAATACAACTGTTGCTACCAATCCTCACATTGGAGATTTTCGGTCCGCGACAATGTTTCGAACTCATGCATGAGCCTGAAAATTCGCTGCGGATCGTCTGGCTCACCCCAAAGGTGCCTATAGGCCCTCTGAACGGCCCTCGGTATGAAGTGCGCCGTCAGGGAGAGGACAGCGATAAACGTCAAAAAACGGAGGACTGTCTCGTCGAGCGCGGGGATATGTTTCAGCGCGGATCTAACGAATCCGGGGGATTCGCTATCCGCGTCACGGATCATAATTTTGCTTCGTTCACTTCAAGAATTTGTTCTGGTTTCTTCGACATGGAGGGGTATAATCGCTCCCGCTTGTCGAGCGATGGTCCCGCGATGAGCTCGTGGATGTCGATTTGCCCTGCAGACCCATCGGGCGGCTCCGAATGAGCGCTATCCTGCTGATTAGAGTGCAATCTCAATCTCTAGCCAGCCGCACTGAGCATTCCTCGAGCCGCGTTTGAGTTCGACATCCTGGTGAGGCCCAACCCGGGAGAGGCAGTAATTTTCCTTCGTTCTTGCAGTTCATATGCGGAAGGTTCTCCGATCGTAATCACGGCCACGCGAGCAGTGATGCTGGGCGCCTCGGATAACCAGTCGGCTCCGGTCGCCGTTTTGGGAGTTCAGATCGACCATAAAACGTTTACTCAGAAGTTTTTCAACTCAACGAACAACGTGAGTCAAACTTTCGTGCGCTCCGATACGACTCGGAGGGATATCGCGAGATTCTGCGAAATCTCGTTGATCGACAATAATCAAAGACTCAATCTCCCTTGATTTATTCTTTCAGTGCGAAGGGCAGGATTGCAAGTTCAAATGCAATTCAGCGAACGAAAGTTTTGATTGTTTCCTCCTGGATAACAATGGTTTCATTCTGGCTGTAGCGAACAACTCAGAAACGGTAAATTTCAATTCGACATGATCATCCTTCGCTTCGGATGCCAAATCAACTTAGGGAACTTCCCTTTATCTTACCGATGGCTGCGAATCCCATTCTCTGCCTCACCGGCTCGAATAACTTCCGCAGATTTCACCTCTAGTCGGGAAATTCTTCGGAGAGGTGGATGCAGCGGTTTTCAACCAACTCATAAAGTACAACATCTACAAAAAAGTGACGATATACGATTATCAAGCGGTCTGCTTCAGCATAAAAGCCGGCCAGGGCTCGGCCTCGATCTTGCGGAATCCGATAGCAGCATTATTGCGAGCCGTTGTCTACCTTTTGAACAGCGTCGTTACCAGCTTAGGCAAATTGACTCTAATCGATACTCAGACTTGGTTGTACAACCCAATGCGGGTATTCGGATACGGTGAGCCTTTCCTTCATACGACTCTGAATTCCAATACGATCGAGATCCGACCGATCATTTACCCGGGTCACTAGCACATTCTTTCAATAACGCTCCGTTCTTGATCCTTCGCAGCGGAGGGGGATGAAATGTCGGCGGCTGACGACACCGACAACCCTCATCCAGGCATGGCCTTCACCGTCTTGAGACCTTGCGACCGTGAGGTGGACCTTTACATCATGGCCAACCTCGGAGAGAATCCAACCTTCGGGAACGTCCATCAATGCGACGTAGCATGTAATCACACGTTTATCGTGCAACCGATCTACGATAGCAATTTGATTCTCGTCGCCGTTCCACATGCCTGCCAGCATTGCGAACGCAAGAAGTTGCGACTCGAGCCGCGAGAGTCGCACGGCATGCTGGCAGACTCAAACGTCACTACCGCCTGCATCAAGACACCTCTTGATCGACAGAAACCCGACACCTGCCATAACTACCATGCGGCCGTGAGTTCAAAAAGCTGAATATCTCGGACTCTCATGACGTTGTTCTGATTCGCGATCAGATCGTCTTCGATCACAATATCTCGCATTCAGGGTTTTGATATTCTCATATTCGTGGAGAAAATACTTGCCTCTCCTGAGACATCAGTCGGGCCATCATTAGGGAAAACTTCGGGGAATACTTCGCGCTCAATGTCTTTGGGGCAGAACTTGCATCAGATGCTCTCGCAGGAACGAAGAGATGGAGTGCTCGATAGACTCGATCTGTAGTTCAAGTTCCGATAGCGTCGGTCTTGAAACCCTTGTAGCGATCTAGTATAGTTGAGTAGGTGGCAGTTCCCTTGATTTTTCTCTTCTGGATCGGTGCGTTTGTACTTTTTATGATTTCAGTTTTCCTCGTTCCTATGGAAATTTATTTTCTCTCGATTCCTTCCTTCAGTTAGCTTGGAGCGGCGAACCTATGTGCGAAGAAGGCTACAACTATTTCTACAAAAGATTCGCCTGCGTAAGCCTCGAGGATTTTGCCTTCCTTTCACACGTTTTCTTCTCCGCTAGCGGGAATTTCGCTCTTTACCCTCTGACTTGAGAGTTGGATATTTTTGTGCTTCTGCTCCGACCGAATATTGGATCCGACATCGCCCCGCCACCTGATTGTCTCGAGTTTCCGTCCATGCTCATTGCTCGTCGCTTAATTCTTCATCAACCTCACAGAAACGCGCCTTTCCCGCTCGAAAATCATTTCCCCGATGATGATGGGTGTCCCGGCTCAGAGTAACCTCTCTATCACATCCGCATGCGTGAAGCCTTCCCGAGGAGAAAATAGCGTTAACAGATATCGATGGATACTGATTATTTCTTATCGAATATCCTTCAGCCCTCCCCAACTAAAATTGTGGAGGATCAATCGGGAAATCGATGACCTCCCTAAGAGTTTTCATTCTAATTCGAACAGGAAAGAGAAATGCTGAAGGAGCTTGATCTAAAGGAGCAGTGCGGATCCTCCACGACAAACTCCCTAAGTTGGCCGTTGCTCCTCCTGAGCGCTGTCCTGACGTTGATGCTTCAACAAGCACCGAACCGTCAAGAGATGAGATAATACTACCATCTGATCAATCGAAGACCCAATGCTATTATGGGAGTGTTCGTCACCTAGCTCCCCCGATGTTTGCGAGTGTACATAAAAAGGTGAGGATTGTCAGAATTCCGCTTCATGAAAATCGAACAGGATTCAGAGGAAAGGACTCCTCTCGGACCCATGACCGATACTCTTTACATGCTCAAATATAGATGGAATCATTCGATGCAGGTATTCGGGGGACATCCATCGTCAGGCCCCCGGGATCGTCCGCAATGAGCAGGAGCGGAGGGTGCTCAACCGAACCCTCGACGCAGACCACAGGGAGAATTCTATTTTGAGTAGCAGAATCGGAAGAAGATCGAATGCGAGAACGTCGAGCGGGAGAGCGATAGTTTTCACGAAGCTCAGAGAAGATTAGTCACAACAGAGATGGATCTGCTCGGACAGAATTCAGTTACCGGACGCATAACAGAGGGGACACGCGCTCTGGTGGAGTTCAGGGCGGGATTGAAAGAATTCATTCGTGAGACTCAATTCTAGTTGAATCGATCGAGGATCAAGAGTTCATCAATTCATTCAATCATCATTTGATTCATCGTCAGGAGATTTATCGACTGATGATTTTGTACATACGAGAGCAGAAGATGCAAGTAATATATGTCTGGAACTTCTGACACTTCGGAATTCCGTCGAGGAGAGCAGAAAATGTTCGAGGCTATATCGCCAGGAATTTCGCATACTTGACTTTCGCCGACAAAAATAGGTGACTCAAACTTTGACTGGCTATCCGCTTCAACGGTCACACTTCGTCTATGCGTGGGTTAGCTCCGACGACTCTCGAGGGAATGTCATGATGATGCACCAATTTACGCACCACGCTACTCAGTGTGGTCACGGGAATTCTCCGAGGTTTTTTCCAAGTTCACGCATCCTGAATTCGTCATCTCAGGATTGACCTTCGCTTTTTTAAATTTCCCCTCTCTCTGAAGCATCTGACCATTAAGCATCGATCCGGGAGCGACATACCGTCGGCAGTCTCGCTGAGAGAGTTCTGACGCAGCTCTCCTGATCTGTCGCTGTGGAGACCCATTCGCAGAGACCGGAGATATCTCGACCAATAAAGAAATCCGTTAGGAAGTCGACCAGTTGATTTCGGATAGATAGTTGAAGTCTCGAGAACCGAACAGGGCGAGCCTCTTTTTCCTGGAGAAAGGATAATAGAAAACTAATTGTTTAGACTTCAAGTAACAACCTAAATGTTAAGTGTCTTTGTAAAATGTACTCATGCCAGAGATTTCTAGATATATCGGGTTCTCTGACGCGCATTCGGAAATTGGGACGGCCTGTGGAGGGCATATCACAGTCCCACAATAAAGTTGCTTTGGAATTTGTTAAATTTTTACCGCAGTGATAATGAGAAAGAGGGAGAAAACAAAAATAAATGTTCTTTTTCAATTACGGTCGTCCACTCAATCGCCGTCGAGCTCAAAATGAGCGCTTGTGTCTACTGAGATTCATGACTTCTATCTTTCGATAGAAACTCATTAGGAATCGAAAGAGGATACGGGAGATTGGAGACATATCCGAAGTTCCAGCGCATAAATGTAAAAATGAGGGGCGTGAGCCCTTTGCGACCGAGTTCCGCGTGGGAATTGAGCGGATCCGAACTGAGATAATGGAGCTAAAATTCGCCGAGTAAGACGTTTGGGAGACTATCTTTGTTCGCGACGCACCCCGTCACTGAAGCCCGCCTCCAGGGGGAACTGAAATTCAAAGTCGATGACTGCTCTCGTTGATGATGACCTCCGCAACTTTGGAGGGGCGCATCGAGGAGCTCCAGGCTCCCAGGCATGATGAATCGAGGCCTCGCCGAAAATTAAGGAGCGTCATAGTGGTCACCGCAGCGGGGCAGCATTCGAGACCACTCGATTCCTTTCCAGTCTTCTTCAGCTCACTCTTCGCACCCGCGAATCCCTGTTACCTATTCAGCAGCTTTCCGGCTCACGACATGGCATACGCTCTATGTATTCGACATCGACGGTTCACAGCTCTCCACACTGGTATCTCCAACCGAGCAATAATCTTGAGTGGTCGCAGCCAAGTATGAATATACGGGGACCTATACATCTCGCGCGTCAAACCCGACCAAGCTGAGAAATGCTCAAATCATTATTTCCTTTGCGCTTGGTCAGGAAGCAGAATACGTCTTCCTCTATCGCATGTCATGATTTAGAGGCAGAGATCAACATCATCAGCGCCCGGCGAAAATTCGTCTGCAGCCGCCTCAATCGAACTTCACTTCGGAACTCACAGTGGAGATTTTCGAAGTTCCTAAGCGACGTATACGCAGCTCATGGCATTCCCGTTTCTCTCAGGAATGCTGCTCTTGCCTGAGCCTGAGAAGTTCAAAGTTTAGGCTGGTCTGAGGAACGAATCGAACGTCATCTGACCCGAAGGTATTGGTTGCCGTATTGCGTCAAGCTATACTCCCGTCAAACCTTTCGCGTACCGAAGACGTCGTTTGCGCTCAGGCGATTACAAGGGTGATGTAGACACTCACCTCAAGTGAAGCTCCCTTCTGTTCACCCTTGACAGGTTTGTCTTGGGGCTACGGTGTGGAAGACTTGGGAATGATGGCTAGCTCCTGGGGGATCCGAATTAGAAGGAGCCTCGAGATTGATTGAACGTACATACACTCCTCGCATGAGTCCGAAGAGTTAGAGATATTTAGAAAAAGACGATTGTTTAGGAGAAGACGGATCTTTTCGCTCGACGGTCATTCGAATCTGATCGATCTTCGCTTGAATAATAATACCTCTCCGGATGATCATGTTGGGAAACATGGCTCGACTGCTTGACAATGGAAAGCGAAGGAGCATAGTTGCGCGAGAGGTATTCCGCTGTATCGTTCCGGGGAAGCTTAACCTGTTTTTTTTTTGTAGAATGGCGCGGTCCCGTTCCCGATCTAAGGAGCGGCGTCGCGGCTCACGAAGTCCAAGGAGGTCCAAGTCTCGCGAACGAAAAAGGAGTAAAGATCGGAGAGATGCGAGACGCGATCGACGGAGATCACGCTCCAGAAGTGCTGGCAGGTTAGCGGAAGATCGCGATTTTCCGGTGAAATTTTTGACGTTCGATTTCTCGGGTAGTCATCTCCAGATGCTTCCAGTCCCTCATATCTTCCCCGTTCCCTCAGACGACGCGATAGATCCCGTGATAGGAAGCGACGTTCCCGGTCGCGAGAACGGAAGCGTTCCCAAGAAAGACGTAGGAGTCGTTCTCGCAGCAAAGAAAGGTTCAGGAAGGAGGCTATGGCTCCGGCTGTGGTGCTGCCCATCGTCAAGGAGGGCGTTTCAGTTCTTGAAGAATTCAGCACGCTGGACAAAGGTTCGTCAGAGAGAGTTCACGATGAGAATTCCGATGAGTCCCACCCGAATTATTGGGAGCATTCACTGTGAAAGGAATCAGTCGAACGTTTCCTAACTATTGCAGATTCGAAACAACAGAAGCTCGATTCAGAGATGAAAAGGTTCCGTGAGCGAATCGAACGTGAAAGAGCTGAGAAGAAATTGCTCAGGAAGAAAGAGCAAGATCTCTTGGAGCAGAAAATGCTGCAGAAGCCGACGTCGACGAGCACATACAAGCCCCCACCTGGACTGGCTTTGGTAGATTCTGACGAGGAGGAGAAGAGCACCAACGTCAAGGACAAGCCCGATACAATAAAAGATGACTCGGAACAGAGGATGGAGCAGGGGAGCGGCGATGAGATCGATCCGTTGGACGCTTTCATGGAAGGAATCGTGAAACAGGTGGGGACACCTCTGGGAAAGAAATCGCGGACCGGAATTCGGTTCGGAGGATCGGAGCTTCTACTCCAGAGAATCTCGATTGACCGCTCTTTCCTCACCGATCACGGGCCGCCCGAGGCATTGCATTTGTCGTTGTCATATTTATTCATTATCAATTGAAACAATGCGCATGTTCTTAATTCAGGTAAAACGAGTCTCAAGAGCCGCGCCGTCTATTCCGGTCTCGACTGCATCATCGAACGCCGCTGTTCCCAAAGCCAAGAAACTTCGGAGTAAGAATGGTGCGAAAGGTGAAGTGATGGAGCAGAACCAAGACGGTCTCGAGTACTCAGATGAGGAAGAAGAGGAAGACTTACAGCAAGCAATGGATTCATATTCATCTGCCACTCTTGGCAAGGTAATTTTGGAGGTCCTGGAACTCGCATTTCCCCAGATCCATCAGAATCATTCTCCATATAATCGACGACGTGTGCTGTTTCCCTGAGACACTATTTTCTATATCAGATCAAAAAGCAAACAACCATCAGCCTCGAAGACATCACCTTCAAACCTTTCCGGAAAGACTTCTACATCGAGGTGCCAGAGCTTCATCAGATGACTGCCGCTGAAGTCGAAGCGCTGAGGGCAGAGATGGAAGGCATAACTGTTGGTATTTCTTGCTTTTGACGCATCGGGGAGTTGAGGGAAGGCCAGGAGCGAATGATCATGAATTCAATAACCGCTCCACAGGTCAAGGGAAAAAACGTTCCGAAGCCTATAAAAACGTGGCCACAAGCTGGGGTTAGCAAGAAAGTCTTGGACGTTCTCAAGAAACTGAATTTCGAGAAACCGACGCCAATTCAGTGCCAGGCCCTCCCCGCTATCATGTCCGGAAGAGATCTGATCGCAATCGCTAAAACCGGTGAGTTTTTCTCTATCGGAGTCCGAGCCGGAGTCTCAACCCGCTCTGAGTGATCATCCTCCGGCTCTTGGGGTCTTTTCCGCTACACCAGTCGCAAATCCGCATGTCGAGGTCCTGAAGATTGGGACTGAAATTCACGGTTCTCAGGTTCCGGTAAAACACTCGCGTTCCTCCTCCCGATGTTCCGTCACATAATGGACCAACCTCCCCTGGAGGCGACAGACGGGCCCATCGGTGTTGTAATGACTCCAACGAGGGAACTCGCGATGCAAATCACGAAGGACTGTAAAAAATTCGCGAAGGTTCTTGGTCTGAGGGTTGTGTGCGTCTACGGCGGGACGGGTGAGCATCCAGCGAAAGACTCGTTTCGCACGGTTTCGAAAATAGGTTTACCCAGGTCATATAATGGCACGAGTGGCCTAACAATCATGGCGGAGAGATCGCTGAGGAGGAATACGTTTCATCCGAAGGTATATCCGAACAAATCGCCGAGCTGAAGAGGGGTGCGGAAATTATCGTCTGCACTCCGGGTCGAATGATAGACATGCTCGCGGCGAACAGCGGCAGAGTCACGAACATGCGTCGTTGTACATACGTAGTATTAGACGAAGCAGACCGGATGTTCGACATGGGTTTCGAACCTCAGGTGAGCCGGGATTTACTCCATATAAAGAAAGAATCTTCGAATTCTTCGATCGTTGAATCATGTCGTCATTCATGATATCATGAAGATTCTGTCGTGGTTTGGCTTCTGCTTCGTTCTCTTGAGCATCCTTCAATCTTGTCCCAGGTGATGCGGATTATAGACAGCGTCCGACCCGATCGGCAGACCGTCATGTTCTCGGCGACTTTCCCCCGGCAGATGGAGGCGCTCGCGAGACGAATCCTCCTCAAACCGGTGGAGATTCTCGTCGGAGGTCGGTCAGTCGTCTGCAAGGAAGTGGAGCAACACGTTCTGATCCTCGACGAAGAAGACAAGTTCCTGAAACTGCTCGAGCTTCTCGGGAAGTACGCTCCCCAGGGCAGTGCCATTATCTTTGTGGAGAAGCAGGAGCATGCGGACGCGCTCCTCAAGGATCTCATGACCGCCAGTTACAACTGCAACGCCCTCCATGGCGGCATAGACCAGTTCGACCGCGATTCGACGATTGTCGATTTCAAAAACGGGAAATTCAATGTTCTCGTTGCGACATCGGTGGCCGCGCGGGGTCTCGACGTGAAACACTTGATCCTCGTCGTGAACTACGACTGCCCTAATCATTACGAGGACTACGTCCATCGCTGCGGTCGGACCGGGCGGGCTGGGAACAAAGGTTTCGCCTACACGTTCATCACTCCCGACCAAGAGAGATATGCCGTCGACATCCTCAAGGCTCTCGAGGCTTCGGAAGCACCGATTCCCGAGGATCTCCAGAAGCTGTTCAACACCTACAAGGAACGGATGGATGCCGAAGGCAAGAAAGTAAAAGGTTCCTCGGGCTTCTCGGGCAAAGGCTTCAAGTTCGACGAGACCGAAGCGAACTTCTCGAGTGAGAGAAAGAAATACCAAAAGGCCATCCTCGGAATGAACGACTCGGACGACGACGACGCCGAGGATACGATGGAGCAAGATATCGAGACGATGCTCGCGCCCAAAAAGCGCGTCGTCGAAACGAAAGCCCCACCTACGGCAGCCACCGCCGCTGCAGCTGATCCCTCCCCGCCGGCGTCGACTCCGGCGGGAACGGAGCCGGAACCTTCTGAAACGCCAGCGGATCCTCTGGAGAAAGCCAAGTTTTTGGCAAGTAAAATCAATAAACAAATCGCGAATAACGAGCTCAAGACTGAAGAGCCCGTAGCCGCGAAAAGCACCGCACCGAACAGTATCGCCGCCCAGATTGCGAGAAGCATCGCCGAGCAACGGTACGTACGTCATTCGAACTATCGGAGTCGCATCCGGGGGGAATCCACCCGCGAGACGGTTGGGCAGCAAGAATTGGCCCCGGGATAAGATCCATTGCTTCTTCAATTACAGTGCGGAGAAATTACATCTGAAGCTCAACTATACACCGTCTGGCGAACCCGACCCGCTCCTGGGAGGTGATCAAACGTACAATAAGTACGAAGAAGAACTCGAAATCAACGATTTCCCTCAGCAAGCCCGATGGAAGGTATGTACCAGATGACTCCTAACGAATCTCTTCCTCTCTACAGGGGGCCCCCGGAATACTTCCTCAGGGCTTCCCCATGGACACGGAATCCATGCGCTGCTGGGGCCATATGACTTCGATCTGGAGACCGGTGACTCGGTCGAGATCGGTATTTTTCGCGCCTGTCCGCAAGTGGTCTCAAAGCTGCTTTCCTTCTTGCAGGTGACTTCGAAAGAGGCTATCGCACAAATAGCCGACTATTCCGAGGCAGGTCTCACGGTTCGAGGGACATTCTACCCACCTGGTAAAGAAGTACCTGAAGGAGAGCGAAAGTTGTTCATCGCGATTGAGTCTCATGACGAGATGTCCGTCAAGAAGGCCCGCACGGAGATTGTTCGGTTGATTAAGGAGGAGCTCATAAAATTACAACACTCGTACCAGCCCTCGAACAAAGGTCGGTACAAAGTTCTGTGAAAGAGATGTATTTCTCCGTCCTTGTATCCATGTTGAGAAATCGTCTCCAAAAGGAATAAAGCCTCGATGATTGTGGGTACACGCTCTGTTCTTTTCTCTCACCTCGCCACAGACGACTTTGTGGGGGTATACGTTTTGCCGCCAGGGTCAAATGGGCGCCGATTCAATTCGGCTACGCGTCGATTCGGCGCCGCATCAGGTCGTTGAATACTTCGAAACGGCATTCGTACGCTTAGTACTGATCCAGAGAACTGGAGTCCCGCAGCTTCTCTCTCGCGCGTTACGTCGAGCTTGCTTCAGTGTTCAGACTGAATGTCCGGTGGATCTACCACAAATTCACATATTTCTCAGTGTGATCAATAAGGTATTTTGAACAGATATCAACATTTGTTCTACATGTCGTACCTATGGGTGATACCTCGCAGGACTTCCGAATTCGGAGGACGCAATCTAAGCGCAAAGTGCGATACATTCATCGCCCCCCCCCCGGAAGCCCGAGATGCACTGGCACATTTCGAAGGATGGCTATGTGCGATCGAACAAAACGCGATTGTTGCACTCCCTCCCTTGGAACCCGGGAGTAGGGTCTGAGTCACCCGCAGTTAGGATCGCGCAGAAGGCGTGTGACCCTTCTTCCGATGCGTAGGGCTTGCATCTCCATGGAAAAAGCTTTTTCACGAACGAGACTCCCTCTATATTTGCACATCTGCGATGTCATACCTACTGACTCCCATAGATGATGGATTCTGCCGAGCGCTCGACTGGTTGGACTCTCGGGGTCTGTCATTGAGTCCCCTTCGTCGTACACCTTTACCGCGCAGCCATCACTCGAAAAGAGGCATAATTTTTTTATGGAGCCTGCTGAGATTCCTTGTAAGGCTACGAAAGAACTACGGTCTTTGGCCAAGGTCGTTCATCGTGCGTCAAACTTTGCCATGGTCAAGGAATCGGAGGAGAAATGCGGGACCGTGCTGGAACTTCTTCTCGGAGAGAACCAGTCGGACGAGGGACCGACGCGAGTCCCGCAACGCTTTCGCGTCACCACGGAAACGGATCCCATGGACTCCATGGGCTCCTTCCTCATCCAAATCTACTAGACTATCCTCTTGAGCCTCTTCGAGGACGTTCCCGGTTTGAGTTCGATTGAGCAGTAGCTGTATTGGCAACGACCAGAGCTCTTGGATCCAACTTCGACCGGCGAAGATGGAGGAGGGCGCAAATACGTGCTCCACCCGTCTCCATCCGCGCCCATGAACATCCTTCGACCTCGAGAGGGGTCGCTGAGAGCAAAGACACTGGATAATCTCCACCTACATCTTTTGCGGATGAAGCGCTGCTGTCGCTCGCGACAGCTTTTCGTCGACGACGCGCTCGATTCTCCGGCTAGCTGCAGCTTTTTCTCCCCTTCTCTTGATGAAGTCTGGTAAATCTCGGAGCCTCTGAATGAGAAAAAAACTTGCTTGTAAGAGAATAACCGTCGCTCCCGGAGGCTCCCTGAGTACGAGGTTCTTCCTCGAGCTGAATTTCCGTCTTCTGATCCTAATGCAAGTCGTGGAGCCTGTCGGGAGGGAATGGAGCTTCTTGAGGAGGCACTTCAAGATTCAAGACGCGGTGCGGAATGACTCCGCGAACCTTTTTTCTTGGTTCGGCAGATAGGGGAGAAATGATATCGTGCACACCCGGGGCGACTCTCCAGGGCCCCCAGGTAGTGTGGAGCTCGCACCTATAAAAACACTAATTGTAAGCTTTCTTCCCCTGAATATGCGAAAAATCAAGAGCAACTATGTGTCTGGCTTTGAGAGCACTTCCGGTCAACTCTTCGAACCTTGCGGTCGGTGAGACTTGGGGGTCCGAGAGAGCCTATCCAAGGTTAGTCCGATGGAAGAGAAACGTCGCTAGATTTCGCCTAGAAACTCTTCCAAGACTTCGGGAAATCCCCACCATGTACCTCAGGGAAACATGGCCTTCCGGAATTATTGGAAGAAGTCAACTGAAAAATTCGAGTGAACCTAAGGATATCAATCGTTGGATACCGGTGGTATGAAACTTAGACTCAAAGTTTACCGCACTCCGAATGGATCGGTTCGAGCCAGATTTCAGCGTGCCCAGGAATCCCAGATTGAGGGCTCGACGGGTGTTCCTAGCGGGGATTCCTATCTGAGCTCTGGGAAAGACGAGAACCAACGAGGGAATAATAATTATCTTCCTTCCCCTTACTGTCGACCCTTCGGAACACACGCAGCAAATGAATGACGACGCACCCCCTTGAGTAATCTTTGTGTACATACTCCCGCAATCGCTCCGGGATCCCGATGGGAGCCTCCGCGATTCTCACCGAGAGCCTCGGTGGAATGGACCCATCAAATGACTCGAGAAGATGCCCCTCCGAGAAAGCCCGGCTGATACAAGCCGTCTCCGGAGATGGTAGAATACCACGGGGATGAAACCGGATCCGACGAGAAGAACCGCTATTCGCTCGATCACCGAAGTCTTAGATGATCGGACGCACACGCGCAGCGACTTGCGGAGAGCCGAGATCCTCGCTGGTCACACAACAGATATTTGGTGAATCCTGTGGTTTAGAACACTCGACAAATAGCCGGAGCGGGGCTTTCCCTGATCGAGGTCCCAATTGAATCCGGGTGAGTCAAGGTAGGTGCCACCTATCAGCGGGATCAGCTGATCATCTACCGGAGATCAATGACACAAAATCAGTTGTGGGAAGGAGCATTATGAAGCTTGAGTCGACTGAGTGAGCAGCTAAATGCTGAGCTTCACGCCTCGAGTAGATCCACCCCGAGTCCTGAACTCCGGCGGAGTCATTGAACTGATGAAGCAGTCAAGACCATATTTCTGGGACAGTCGCCCACCGCTCTCGAGTTGTGCGTCGCACTGCAAGCGACAGAGACGGACCGAGTCAGCAGGGTGCGGAAAAGAGATCCGAAGGACAGGAGCGCCTGCGAGACTAATGCACGTCAATTGTGCCAAGGACGGAGTCGATAACCCCCATAGAGCCCCCCCCCCAACTCGGTCTCCGACTCGTTCCATGGATCCTGTTCCGGACCAGCTCTGGTCTCGATATTAATTTATCGATGGAAGCTCGCCGGACCGGCGAGACCCCCGCGGGTCGAAGTCCGCAGATTGGGCTCCGTTGTGGGGCTCATTCTCAGCGATGAATGAAGATTTCGGTGTGCGCTGGATTTGGAAGTGCATGTTGTGCTCAGCATGCAACTCGGTTCCTCGGGGCTTCGATGACGTCGCTCCGTTTCGGCTGATCTGGGTCACTGATGCGTAATCCGCTGCATTGCTCAAGCTCAGAAGCGGAAAAAGAGAGGAGCTCTCCCGACCATTGAGTTCGCATGTAGTACTATAATTAGGCCATGATTCAATTCCTATGAATGGACCACACCCCTTATTGTAGCCTCACGAAGAGACCTTGAGTGAAGCAATCAGACCTCGATACCTTCATTCACGCCTAGAGCCTCGAGCCCGGGGCTTGTCCGTTCTATGACGCACAAGCCTGCGTTCGACCAATCAAATCGCGATTGTTGCACTTCCAGCAGCGGAACACAAACGGGGGCCTGAGTCCTTCAGAGAACAGGGACGTGCGGGGACTTGAGTCATCCTCGTTCCGATTCGCCCGCGGATGAGTCCGTCGGAAATTGCCCTATGAAGCCACATCACGAGGATCCTGCAATCGACGCGACGGACAATTCCACTCTCGGTTTCCCACACATCGATCTGGAGTCTCGCGGAGACTGTGGAATCGACGGGATCGTTTCCGAGAATGGTCTCCACAAACATGCTTTGCTCTAGAGGTGACGTGGATGAGGGAAACAACGTTAAAATATTTCGTGCTACTGATCGAGCATGAGAATTAAGCGTCCTACCTTTTTTTTTCTGTTGAAAGCTCAGAATTTTTGAGCCAATGGACCGAGCTGCCCCCCGAGCCCCTCCAAAGAATGACCCGAACACGGGTCGAGTCCGGAATGAAAGCAGTAGCTGTATCGACTACGACTCGCGCACAAAGATCGAAACTCGCTCCACGAACGAAAAGGTAGGTGCAAACTACGTGCTCCACCCGTCTCCATCCGCGCCCATCGACATCCTGCGACCTCGGAAGAGGTCGTTGAGAGCAAAGACACTAAAGGATCTCCACCTACGTCCTTTATGGATGAAGCGCTGTAGTAGCCCGGGCTGAATAAAAACCAATATTGAGGAATGACCTCGAATGATCACGCAGCTCGAGCACTCCGCGAACCCAGAACGGTAGCGGAAAAATTAGTATGTTTAACAAAATATTATATAAACAATATATAGGTATACACCTATGTATAAAAGAATCAAAAGAAAAGAGAGGGGTGGGTTAATGGGGAATAGACGGCTTTCGAGCCTGAGGTTCTCCCCACTCTGCCCTCCGCGCTCGTGATCAGATTCCATGAGGAGCGGCCTTCCCACGGATGATGTATTTTGATGACAGACGAAGCTCGAAGGTCGCAGGTTCGACCAGTCGCAATTCATTCACTGGGCTGTAGAAAATAGGATTCTGAGATAAGCTACAAGCGGACGGATTGGCCATTCTCGGCGCTGACGGATCCTCTCCTCGCTCGAAGCTTTCAACGTGAGCGCGCTGAAGGAGTTACGCCAGCCGGAGGAGGGTATGGCTGCTGGGGAAGACCCGGACTTCTCGCTCGAGAATCAAAAATATATCGGCGAGGTGGTGGGTCGAGATCGCTCTACGACAATTCGCGTTGGGAAATTATGCTGGGTGGGTGGGTTGGCTGGCTAGCTCCGCGGAGGTCAGGAGGCTTCTCCCCCTCCCGGACGAGTTGCCCTGAGTCAGTGGACAGCTTCGGAAATAGCTCCAAAGTGCCAAGGATCGAAGAACACCGGCGCAGTCAATCATATCGTCCATGAGGGCTCGGAGCTGGGCCCCCGCTCCGACGCGTCGGTCTAGAACTTGCGCTCGTGGGCGAAGTAGGGTCCATACCTGAGCCGGC